TTTAAAAACTGTGGTTTCTTATAAAAGCAATAAAAAAAAAATTTTATGCATATACCTCTATGTTGGAAAGCATAGGCACTGAAGTGCACAATGAAATATGCAAGAACATAGGAACAAAAATAATACAGAGTAGGAAGCAAGGAAGATTAAACAATATGCTATTTAATTATACTGAAATTACTCTTTATAATACTCTTTTCAGATGATTTTTTCCTATAAACATACTTATTCCACTGCGTAATCTGTTTTTTCAGAGCTTTTTATAACATCACAAAGTGAAACCAATAAAAGAAGAGACCACGTGCTACCAAACTGCTGTGAAAACATCTGTTTAGGATTAATTTAGAGAGTTCTTTCAACCAAAAAGTATATTTATATATTTATCACTTTAATAAAGATATATTCAATTAATTTTGAAAATCAGAGTAGAAAATTAATTTCCCTCCCACAGTCTTAATGAAGAAATAAAGGAACTAATTTCCCATTGCTGTTAGAGGGGTAATCCACTCCTTCACATATTAAGAAATTAATGTAACGCATCCAGTCAGCCAAAGAGTCTCTGATTCTTCCCCTCCCCCTAATCTCTTATACCAGCTTATTTTGTGCAACACAATTATGAAAAACAAAAAAGACTTAAGTCCTTTTAAGTCTTTCAGATTTCCTTACGTTCTAATTTTTGATCTGTTGACTTTGATGGTGTTTGCTAGTTTTGGTTTTCTTTTAAGAGAAAAAAGAAATTTTATTTATAAAATAAATTTATATCTTTAAAAATCTAGAAAACTATATATTATTATTTATAATAACAATAAATACTTAAAAAAATCCCACACCCATTTTTTAAAAATTCCAGAAAAATATTAAGGAAGTATTGTGACAGACTTTATACATCTTTGTAGCATTTGTGGGGTTTTATGTTATCAAAAAGTCATCCTTTTTATTTGAACTAAATACAGAAGAAATGGATTTTCTTATGTTTAGTTAATTTATTAAAAATCTGATACCATTTTGTAATTCTAGGAATATGTGTGGACAGAGTTTTATAATTGAAAAACAGGTCAAAATTATATTTTACCGTATTGGACCTGAGTAGTTGAGAAATGGATGTTCAGTATTATGTTCTTAAGACAGATTTTTGACCCACATAAGCAGCTTTATTTCTTTCTTTATTAAATGACACTTCCTGCACAAGTGAGAGTATGAGAGCAGTTTATGTCCTTAATGTAAGAAAATCATGGGATGATGTAAGTGTTCCTTTAAGGAGGCAGTTCTCATAAAAAAAAAATTAGTTTTGAAACTTGTCATTTGTAGCAGACATTTTGGGGGGGTTAATCTTTTTTTGATGGTGCGTAGTGTTCAGTGAAGCAGCTCATTGTGTACACAGCTTGTGAATAGCATCATTGATAGCAAAAAGCTACAGGGTAAGTATACATTTAATTGATTTCTTGATCAGGAATGCTTCTGCAACAGGCAGAACAATGGAGCTTTATTATGCTTGGTTGGTTGATGTGAATGTGGAATAATTCAGAAAATGGGGAGATGTCCAGAGCAAGAAGCACATAAAATACAGCTGCTGTATGGTGATCTAACACATGAAGCTTTTTGGGAAGAACTGAGACCACAGAAACTGAAATTTGATTTATAAATCAAAGATAGGAGTCCATAAACATGTTTTTAGTATGTAGGGATAATGTAAATAAGCAAAATTCCCTCTTTTGTATTCCTTTCCCCACCCCTTGGTTTGAGCAAAATAGCAAAAACAGGGTGGGAAGACCTGTGGACCCATTTAATATGGAAGGAAGAGATAAATATTTATTCTCTTGGAAGGGAATATTTTATTTTTCTTCCCTATCATGTGCAACACAATTGTCTCAGTAGTTCTTTTAATATCTATAAGAGCCATTGTTTCCAACAGGAGAGGAGCAGTGTGTCTTTCAGGACTGTATTCCTGATATTTCTCTGTTATCATCTTGATATTTGTATGCAGCTATATTAATGATTTTCAAAAATTAATCCCAGTGATTAGTTTTCCTAATATTTCTGGTAGATCTCATTCACAATATTTCAATACCTAAGTGTTTCAATATAGATGTATTTCTCGTAAACTCATTTTGCTTAGTCAAAAACCATCACAAAAAGGCTGATGCTGAATTAAGAAGCAACAGTCTAAACGTAGTTAATATTTGGAAGAACATGGGAAAAATTCTTGGGACAAGTGCTCTGTTGTGATTCTGAGAGCTTGACACAAAAAAGGTGAAAGGCTAAAGAACAGTCCACTTCTTCTAGTCCATCTGTAATGGAATTTTCCTTTCCAGTGCCTGGTCTGATCATATTAAAGAGGCACAGAAAAATTATTATGAAATTATTATGAATGGAAAATATTCCATTTTTTATGGAACAATAAAATGGAGTTTTGTAAATGCAAGCCAAATAGGAGGATTGTTTCCATTTTCACTTGGACATCTTCTCCATCTCTGAATTGCTTGTATAACATATGAAGGCAAGCTCAGCATTAAATACCATCTCAGTATGGTTTTTTTTTAGTTATATGGGAAACTCCTCTTAGAGCATAAGAATGTGGAAATATTAATATATAAAGTTTGGAAGTGTATGTGGTTGTTACTAAACCAAACAAATACCAGTTGTATTATCTGTAAGAATTTGTGCTTCCGTTCTCTAATTTTAAAATAACTTAAAGTGAAAAGACAAAGTTAATGTTTTCTTTGGTGGACTACGTCCAAATTACCCCAGAGTTCTGTTTGTACATAAGGAACTTTAAAGCAAACAAGCCAACTCAAGCAATGCAACATAAACTGTTATAACTGTAAATATTCCTTCCTAAAATAGTATTTGATGGACTCCAAAATTGATAAATAATTCTCACATTACTTTTGTATGAAATATCTCAACAAGTATATATTAATAGAAATTGGGTTAAATTTAGCAATAGCATTTTGCCAAGAAAGAAATTTATTGAAACATAGCATTTGGTTGCTATGTTTCACTATGAAGTATACATTGTGGTTAAAAAATGGGCACATGACCTAAAGCAGATATTTACAATAAAGATGGATCCAGATTTGAGATGACATCTAAAGGTTTTAAAATTAACTTGTTTTTTCCTCAAGAAAGAGTTTTTTTTCTTTTTAAGTATACACTTGTGTGATTAACACTTGGAATTCCTGTTGAAAACCATTAGAGGGATAACAAAGGTTTGCTTAGCATGTTAATTCCTTACACTGCCAAGTGTATTTTGAGGACTGGAGTGCTGTGCTTAGTCACAAACATCACAATCCAGATCACCATTTAAAGACTTCTGCAGAGGAATGCTTTCCGACCTGTGCTTTGGAAAATGTTACATTTCCAGGTATCATTGTGTCAAATTATTATTTTGGGTTTTGCCAAGTAAATCTCAGGATTTCAGGGGGGGAAAAGGCAACTCATTCCACAGTGACTGTATTATCTTTCCATGAAGTGTGATTTATATGCAACATGAAATATGCAGAATTATTTGCTGTAGATTTTACTGAAAGACACTGGCAAACGTAAAACTTAGGGAAATGATCCTTTCATGCTGTTGTTGATGACAGTACTCCAGTGAAATACAAACCATCTTAAATAAAAACCAACTTTTTGTACATTTTTATTTGACTTTTAGCACAGAGAGGAAAATAAGTAAAAAGGTCTCCTATATTGCCTTTGGATTTGTGCTTTGTTTTCTTTAAAACAGCATATGTATTTTTGCAAGTCGCCTCTATTTCCTGTTGTCCAGGAAATTAAATATTTGCTGAAAACCTATTTATTTCTCATGTTCTTTATCCCCCTTACTTTTGCCTCTTTCAAGTTTGGTCAAGCAAAATTAATGGATCCTAACAAACAATTATTAGATAACTTCACCTTGCATTCATGTTAAACATAAATCCTTGATAAATAAGGTCCTGCATAACTTTTCATTATAGCTTTTATTGTTCTTTGCCTGACTTCTATGACTTTGTATCCCCTTTCTTCCCCCTATGTCTAGGCCTTCTGCCATGCAGCTGTTCAGTGTTGATTTATTAATATGTTAATAATTATAATAATGAATGTTAAGTTATTCTCAATTGCATAGTTTGAGTACTATTCAGCTGGTAAAGTCATAAGATGACACTATGGTAACAGCTAGCAGCATAAAATTTTGAAATTGTTCTCAATGAAACTTTAAGTTGTTGTGGTGTTTCATTATATAGTGCTATTTTAAGAAAATTTCTGGATATAATATTTTCAGTTTTAATTCTCTTAGCATTTTCTGTGAATGTTCAAAGCAGAGTTTGACAAACCATTCTGAGAATATTCCTTTGGTATTCTGTGTTGATGATGCTGCCCAGCCAAGAAAACACAATTTTAATGGCAAATTATTTGGACTGAGTAAGAGTACAGTTCTGAGCATCATCATAATCATTCTGCTTATCATTTTAATAATGTTCTTTCAGGTAATCCATTAAAAATGTCTTCTACAGCTTGAGTGCTTTGGAAATGTTGATTTTGTTACAAAGCATTTTCTTTACCACTTGTATTCCAGCAAAGTTGGGCTGTTTTCAGCCCAAAACTCAAATCACCTTCTCCTTATTATTGTGTGCATTTTAACCTGCCATAAAATTGAACAATATTGTCACAGCTTAAATAAAGTCAAATAAATCTAATTCATTATGCCAGAAAGCCTGAACCCCCAAAACAAACCCAAACAACAAACCAACAAATGTCTGGGAAAAAGTAAAACTTGGAGCAGAATACTCATCTGCTCACAACTCAAACTTGAGCAGAATGCTCATCTGCTCACGACCCAAACTTGAGCAGAATACTCATCTGCTCACAACTCAAACTTGAGCAAAATTCTCATCTGCTCACAACTGGAACTTGAGAAGAATATTCATCTGCTCACAACTCAAACTTGGAGCAGAATGCTCATCTGCTCACGACACAAACTTGGAGCAGAATATTCATCTGCTCACGACCCAAACTTGGAGCAGAATACTCATCTGTTGACAACTGTTTAGTGGCACGTATGAGAAGAGAAAAAAAGTGTCTGGAATGTCATGAAAAACAAGCGGGCTTGGCTTCCGTACCCATTAAAAGGCATTGGTGGTGTCAGCAGCGGCAGAGGGAGGATTTGGGTGTTTTAACTCCGTTTCTGTGCTTTGGTGCTCTGTGAGCCTGCCCAGCCCAAGCCCCTCACGGTGCCCGTCCCGCTGCTGCTCCCTGGGGGCACCAGGCATGCCGGCCCGGAGCCTGGGGAGGGGCAGGGGTTTGGAATTACGGCTCTTTCCAGGCAGATTTGCGCCTAGACGGGGCAGGGTGAGGCGTCCTGCTCCGGTTGTCCCGGAACAAGGTGAAATCGGTGCTCACGGAGCTGCGCTGCCGCTGCCGCGCCCCGCGGGGCCCTGAGGGCAGCGCGGCCTCTCCGGGAGGCGCCGAGGCCGCTGCCCGCACTGCGGGACAGGGGCTCGGTGCTGCTGCTGTTGCTAGAGAACAACCTCCCCCTGGAGCTAGGGAAAACAAGGTGTGTGTGATTTTATCTCTTTTTTATAATTTTTTTAGTATTTTTTTTTTTTTTTTGAAAAAAGCAGTTTTCCAGCTGGGCCTGGGCGGCCGCAACGCTCTTAGCGTCTTGGGCCTGCCCTGAGGAGAGCGGTGTCATTGCTAGATTTTAGTATGTAGGGCTTAGTGTCTTGCTTTTCGTATGGATTGTTTATGCCATGCCCCATGCAGAATGTGGAAATACTGCTTGAATTTAGCCAGGCTGCCTGCCTCTGGGTATACGGTCCATTTCATCCTGCCACAGTACTGTGAGGAAAATATGTGAACACCTGGGACATCTCTGTCAGTGCTGGGGCAATATATGTTTAATGTAAAAAAAACCCAAACTAAATGTGTAGACAACAGTAGAGCTGCAAACAACAACTTTGAGCTGCAAAATTAGGGAAATTCTAATTTGTCATTCACTTAAGAATTAGAACAAATATATAGGACATCCACATTAACTGAGGATTTCTATTAGTATATTTCATGTTCATGGTGGAGGCTAACATGAAAGAGAGCTCTGAAAGTACCATGTTCATGGTATTTGTGTCATCTTCGAAGTGTTGCTGTTTTTTTTCTTTCTTCTGCCTTTTGCATTCAAGTTTTTGTCACAATGTAATGTAATTATGGTATTCTAATGCATTTTTACAGAAAGTTAATGCATCCTGCCTTCTGTACCTGTTGATCATGTATCAGGCTGGGTGCCCAAAGAAGGAGGAGGACTCCTGCCTGCTCTCTGCTGTTCTGGGATTTTGGGGATTCTGTGGCTTGGAGAGGAGACATAAAACGTTGTGTTCTGGTGCAAGGCTGCTCCTTGCCATCTACTGCCATTCTCGGCCTCCTGTGGGAGCTGTTCCAAACCTGGTGCTGCAGGCACATCCTTACTCCTACTTTAGCAAGTGAGATGCAGACATAAAAAATTAGGACATTTTTCCTATGATGAGAGTATATTTTTTTGTCACTAATCTTGACATTATCAATAATGCTCAGGCAGCCAAGAAACAATTTTCATACATTATACCCCACGGGGATAATAATATAATTCCTTTTGAAGCTTTATCATAGGGATACCATGTAAGTACCAATAGCACACCAATAGCAATGTTGGTAGAAGTTGTGTTGAGGAATGGTTTGAGGAGGAAAAAGTTATACTTGTCAGACACATTTAAAGGAAGAGAGAGGATAAAAAAGGAAACAAACCAGCCTTCAGGGAAATCAGTTCTTTCCAGATATAAAGTAGATACCCCCAAACTGCTGGAAAGAGGTTAAATATCAATAGTGCCTGAACTTGCTGGCACAGCACAAATCTGTTACTTGCTTATATTATATTATTTTGAACTGATCCCCTGCTTGGTGGTACTAATTATTTCCTTGTTTACACTTGTTAGAGGTATTCCACCACTATCATTACAAACAGGCAGCAGCTTGGAGTGCTCCCTGAGCACATCCACTCTTTTTGTAGTGTTGCAGCACTGAGAACTGCAGCTGTGCCTTCTTTGTTCTGGCAGGGCGCTGCTGCCGGACACGGAATTTCGCTGGAGCTCTCGGTGCTTCAGGCAGCTTAGTCTTGGGCTGATTTATTTGGAGAACAGTTCGATTTTTATTCCGTGGCCGTGGCTGTAGCTGCAGTACACCCAGGACTGCACAGTTCAGTTGGATGTCGACTAGGTGGCAGCATGGTGTTTGGAACGGACACGAGCTGCTTTTCGGCTCCTGTGCCGGTAAAGTTTGACTTCTGTCAATCCCTTCCTCACTTGGTGTCTCTATACCAATAGCTAAGAGCATGCTGACTAAGTACTGAAAATTATTAGGATGAAAAGGCTAGGGAGGAGAATTTAATCCCACAGGCAAACATGCTGTAAGCAGAAACAGTTTTACAGTTTTAATCAGAGTGCTGGTGTTTATGGTTTCCTCTTTTAATTTGAGCTGAAATGAGTTTAGGTATCTTTTGCTAGATTTTTAGTAATATTTTAATTGTGGTTGAAAAAAAATTCAGTTATTATGTATGGTGTTACTATAGTAATGTCCTATAAAAGACAAATAAAATATGTAATTATTTTTGATTACAGAAAGTAAGGATCCTGATAATATATATCTGTGTTAGCTTTACTAACCAAATTATGGTATATGAAAACTTAATCACCTCTTTTTGGAACATGCCAGCTAGCTTGTGAAAGATTATGTATTTTCATCAAAAGAATTCAAGTTATTGGAGGCAACCTCTTGTAGTGGGGGCAAAAAGGCAGATCCCAAGCAAGGCAGTACTTGGGCAAGCAGCTCCACTCTTTTAAATTTCTTCCAGAATTCAACAGGCAGCTAACAGACTTTGGAGCAACTGACAAAATTCTTTAAAACTTCACCCTTCAATTGCATTTGCTGTAGCTCTGTATTTGATGGGAGTAATCTTTACTGCATTATGATCTCAGAAGCTGATTTGGAGCAGTGCAATAATTTCTTGGAACCCCTTTTATCACAGCAGCATGAAGTATTGCAGGTTGAATAAAAAAGGGCTCCCAGAGGGACTTTCCCATATGCTTTCTGGGTCATCAGTTTGCTCTTCTCAGGAATGTGTTGTTCAGCTTCCCTGTTTTTTGGGTTTTTTTTTTTTTTTTAATTCACATGTTGAAACAGAGCTGGAAATGTGGAGGGAAAAAAAAAATCCACTTTAAAGCTTCTAGGAAATCAGGAAAAGCAAAACAACCCACCCTGGCGCATTGCTTCTTGACAAAGAAAATCTGAGGGTTCTAGCAGCTGAGAGTTCTTTGTTTAATGCTTTTCCCACAATTCCATTAATATCTGAAACTTTGAAAAGCATTGTGTCATTCAGCAGATTGTTTCAGATTGCAGGAACAATCTGTTTCAGCAGATTGTTTCAGAATCTTTTGTCAGCAAAGATTCCAAAGCAGGTTTTTAAGGACAAGTGTTTTGCTCTGTTATGGGGCCAGTGTTGGTCTCCCAGCCCAAAAGGACACAATACTTTCCTAGGCTTTGAGAAAGGTAACTTCAGAACAAGTGTACAGCTTCCACACTTAAAACCTTCACACTTATCGAAATGTTAAACAAATACCATTGATTTTAGGCCAGAAACTGCTAGTACCAGAGATAAGGGCAGTTTGATGTGACTAGGGCTGCTTTATCTTTGGAAAACAAGAAGCATGAGCATGTTTACAAATCTTTTCCTTGGATAAGATGTGCTGAATTGTAGGATATATCTTATATGGAGTATACCTCTGTTATTTTAAGTCTTCAGCTGCTAGAGTGGCAAAGAACATCATCTGTGCTTTCTTTACTTTGTATTTTATACCCTGTCTGTTTCAGAGTTTCTGTCATGAGCCCTCTGGATGATTCTGTCCTGTGTAGTTAAGGTAAGCTAATAAAAATATAAACTCAATATATAGGGAAGCACATGGAAAAGGTAAATACACCTACTTTTTGAGAGTAGGTGCAGCAAAGTAGTATTAATGCACTGATAGAAGGCTGGAGAATGTTCTCCAGAAAAGCCCTGACGAAGCAATCTGGTCTCCAAAGATGTGCTGTCCCAGCACAAATTGCACACTGCCACTTACAGGAAAAAAAGCAACATACAATCCAAATTTGTGCTCAGGAAAGATTTAAAAATCCCCAAGTTGCAAAGTCAAGGAAGAGAATTACTGTTCACTTTAATTCAATAGAAGAGACTTTTAACTGGATTTTTGTTTGTTATTGATGAGACAGTGAGGTAGAGAGACCTTTTGCCCAACTTGGGACAAGTGTTCTTACATTTTGTGTACTTATGTAATGTAAAGATAAAATAAGATTCTATGGAACTTTAGTATTAAACAATATTTATAATAAAATGAGTATAAAGCAGTCCTTTAAAATAAGAACTCTGCACTGACAATGCTACCTGATTTACTGTAAAATTTTAAAAAATCATATAATCCTCTGCTTTCAAAAGACACAGGTTTGTCTCATTCCTCCTTCAAATGATTTTTGATTTAATATAATCTGAGTACAGAAATAAAAATATTAGATTTTTATTGTCTTCTGGTTTTGAATCTTTTTAGAGTCCACATCTTGATGTTCTGTTTTTAGGAAGAGCATAATTGTTTGTAAATGAACACCACAAGTGTATTTGTCTTAGCTTTTAGAACAAATTGTCTTGTAAGATTGGCAGTATATTTTTGAAAACTGAAAAGTTCAGGGATATTTTGAAAAGTGGATAACTTCTAAAGTTTTTGAGGACTGCAAAGGGAATTTTTTTTGTCTTGTATGATTCTGTAATGATTTGTAGATCATCATAACTGCAGATGACAATGAGTAAATACGATGATTTTTAAAATAAAACTGTAGAAGGGCATCTTTAAAATAGAAGTTGCATGGAAAATCCCCTTTTAGGAAGGAAGAATTTTTGTTAGATAGCCCTGTGTTGTATAGAGAGATGTGATTTCTGGAATTGCTAGAGGTATCCCTGCCTTTCTGAGAACCTGCACTCTTTAGCTCATTTGCTTTCATTTGTATGTGTGAATGGAGCTACTCTCAACTAAAACCTGAAAGCTGCAAAAGAAGCTACCTCAAAGGAAACAGACCAGAGGCTGAACCAGCAGAGCTCACTGAAGAGGGTGTGTTACACCCCCTAATCTGGGGTATGCTTCTCATGTCAACCCTTTTAGCCCTCTGCATCCCAAAATCAGCTCCTGGCATGGGAGCTCTTTCACAGCTCAAAGGGGCTGCACTGCTGGAGCTGTCCAGATGGACTCTGGGCAAACCCAGTGAGCTTGTTGAGTTTAGGTGGTGTCTGGTGCACACAAATTGCTGCTTTTTCCACCAAAGGTGGTATAATTCTTATAGGAAGATGTGGGATGGAGGATGGAGGAGAAAATGAAAAATAACGTTTGTCTATCGGTCTGTAAATTGAAGGATCAAACTTTAGGCAAGGTCAAACATAACTGCATTAAATATTTTTCAGCTTGTAGAAACTTAAAAATAAATAACCCTACCTAACAGAAAATCTCTGGATTTAAAGTAGAGGAAAAAAAGCAACAATAGTAATAGGGATAAAGCTGCCTTCAAAAATTATCATTATTTTTTAAAATCAAATTGAGTCCAAGAATTTAAGACCCAGTAAAATACATTTTAGGCTGCCTAAACCTTTACATACAGGTTATTAGCAATGGTTCTTAAACAATGTAGCTTATTCTAGTTGTCTTTTCTGTAGTTGTCTTTACAGAGGCCTTATACCCAGTTGTTTTATAGTCCACATTTTATGACACTGGGTGCCCGTAGGTTTTCTTATCATTCAGGAATCCCACCCGGCTTATGTGAGACAGACATGATGTGTGGAATCTGGAAAATAATGAACATCTGATTTGTTTTCCCAGTTCCTTCTGGTGAGCTCTTCCTGGCAGAATGATGGAGTCTGGGCTTTTATGCTCCTTTGGTACATCTGGCTGTTTTCTAATTCCTAAACTTACATCTGAGCTATAACTTCAGAAAATCAACAGAATTTAAGGATTTATCTCGGTTTTGGTTTTTTGATATAGCAATGGATTCTAGACAAATCTTTTAGTTCTCTCCAAAACAAGAAGGTATTTGAACAGTATCAAAAAGATATTTCCTTGAAGAGTGAAGATGTATGTGAGATTTATTGCTTTATTTTTTATCAAACAGGCAGAGCTGCTGAATGTATTCCAGCCTTTAATGATCATAAGGGGAACCTTATCCTGTGTACAGAGGTTATTTATTTACTTATAATATGTATGTCTTGTATAAAATTCAGTGCTATTGTGCCAATTTTTGTATAAATATTTAAAAAAATAATTTCATTTAAAAGCAAACAGTGTTTTATACTCTTCAGTTTAATGTGACAAAAATCTGGATTATGCTCGTTACCCCGTAACCTGACTTGATGGTTCCACAGCAGCACTAACATCTTGACCATAGAATAACTCAGCATATTTAGATTTAAATCCTGGCTCTTAACAGGACACAACTGTGTATGTGGGTGTATTAGGTATGCTCTGTGCCTGGATGAATTCATTTCAGTTGCATAAACTTTTGTACTGTTTTTCACAAATTGTCATGGAAATGTTTTTTACAGGTGAAATATCAATTTTAGTAGGCTGAAGCACAGAGGTGATATTGCTGATTCTTGTAACTTCTGTACTTGCATCTGGTGGGGATAGATACCTTTTTATTGCCATCATTTTAATAAGAAGTTATTAGACTTAAGCAGGTACACTTTATCCATTAGTGTTTTCATTCCTGAGTTTCACCAAGCAGAGAATTTAATACTTATGCTTCAGTGTAATTTTTTTGGAGGCAGCATTTGCGAACACCTTAGGTTATGTTGGAGCAGATGTTTTGTCTCCTTGTGTAAGTAAGATAAGTACTGGTAAACAAACAAATAAAATCAATTATTGTTTATTAAGGTAGAAACAATCTTAAAAATGGATCCAGCCTATACTGAAATGCTATAAATTACCCTGTTTCTAAAATGAAACTCAAAGTGTTGCAAAAATGTTCCTGAAGGGGATTTTGTAGAGAAATACTATCAAATTCTGCACACATGCACTGCTGGAATGTGTTAAGTTAAATAGCAGGGGGAAGAGATTTCCAGGCGGTTTTTGTAAGATATTGCTCTTGGTTGCACTTCTGGCGTTTGAATGTTTTAGTTAATATCAAAGCCTGCAGTTGTTATTGTGGTAAAGTGATAGTGTGAAATTGATGCTGTTATACTATAACAATAAGGACGTGACTCATGTATTTTATGTACACATGCATTCAACTGTAGTGACAAATGGCTTCATGCTGTGTGATTAAATGCATATTAGCATTTGCCCTAGGCATTTGATTATTACCATCTTTACTTCATTACATTACCACACTGTATGGCCATATAATTTATAAGATAATACAGACATCACTTTGTTGCTGATAGGAATTATTCTGTTTTATGGATGGTGTCCTTTAATTTTGCCTTTCATGGATTATAAAATTGGTTAATATCTGCTGAAGTGAATCACTGGAGAAGCAAATAAAGATGTTGGCCTCAGGTCACAGTGTCATTTGTGATACTGGCAAAATCTTACAGCCTCATTTATCCCTGTACATGATTGATAACACCATGGGTTAAATGGAGAAAGCTTTGCTTCCATTAAAGGATCATCATGAATGAAGACCTCCCACTTAAAAGTCAGGCATGATGAGAAGACAAGAGACTATCTACAGGTCAAATTAAATAACTTAAATAATTTAAGTGGAATGACAGTGTAATTTGTTCATTCTGTGTTATTACCCTGACCCCTATCAGGCTTATAGGCTAGCTTACTTTCTAGTGTAGGGTATTTAAGATGTAATTTTTAATAAGTGCTTTTCAAAGATATAAAGCCCTTTATGGCACTTAAAATTGTGTTAAAATGGATTTTTTAATGTGCTTTTAAAAAAGTAATTTTTGTCCTTATTTTGTTAAATGTAAAGCGAATAGTAGGAAAGCAAATGTAGTAAATGCTTCAAAATAGGAAATGTAGTCTTTCACTTTCAAAATGCTATCACATGTGTGTTTTAGATTTTTTTAAAATTATTTTATAGGTATTCTGACAAATGCCGGTTGCTAAAGTAAAAGTGCATTATTTGGAAATAACTTTTTGATTTGACAGAAGATTTTTTTTTGTATTTTCTATGGTGAAGGGCATTTATTATTTATCCTCTATCTTTACGGTAGCTCTGGATTGTTGTGTTAATGTGTGATATCAAAGGCAGGGATTTCATTAATATGAAGGATAATTAAAATGATTTTTAAAGTTTATTATTATATTTTGTATATTTTTGTTTCTAGTCAGGCACAATGTAAACTCCCTGGCAGGTGCTGAGTTTTTTGAGCTCTCGGAGGTGGAAGAGACCGCAGGGGAACTCGGAGGAGGGCAGGAGGAGAGTGTGTAACCCCCCTGCAGCTCGCAGGTTTCAGCAGCAGGCTGTGAAGCATTTTGTGGCAGTCCTGGCAAAGCAGCCCGAGTGCAAATTGCCCGTGAGAAAACAGCGCTGTCACCATGAAGGGCTGGCTGAGGACTCAATGAGCTTCACTCACAGAGCGTTTATCAGCACTCACCGCATTACCGAGGGAAAGTCTTGTTTGTCAAGTGCTCCTGCTGAGACCACTGAGCTGAGAGAAAGCCCTGGATGCCTGAGGCCCCTTTGCTTCTGTTCCTTGGAGTACAGCATTGGTTTGAAAATATCCCCTTGGGAAAAGGATTCTCAGATTGCTTCTGTGATAGGAAGGAAAATCACAAGCCCCAATGTGTATCAGTTAATGTACACTCTTCTACTGGTTGGCCTGCATAGGAATAATTTCGTAACTGAAGTGCACTTCTTCAGGTGCTCCTGTTCTTGTAGGGTGAATCCTTTTTCTGAATCAAGTTATTTTTTCCCTTATTAACACAGCCTGCCAGCTTCTTCATTTGATAACAGCACAGTCTTGTAAAAATTCATCACTGTGGGATTCCACCAACTCCAAGCCTGGAACATCAGTGACAGCAATAGCATTAAACCATGTGTCATGTTTTAACATTATGCTTGTAAAAATCTTACCCTTAGCATGATGAAGAGTGAAATCAAATGGCTCTGTGCGTAGTTTATTGTGCATAATATTGGCATTTTTATTAGATTTGTTGTTATGGTCATGTCCCAATACTTTATATCGAACATTTGTGGTAGTTCTTCATGTAGTGGTACAGCATGTTTTGGTAAGAAAATAATTTTGAACACTTGAATGAAAGTAACAAAAGTTTTAATGTGCTTTTGGGACAGATGGACTTACTTTATTCAAAGTTTTTTGGCTAAAATAGAAATAGTGGATTTTTATCCTAAAGTATTACATTAAAAAAAAAAAAATCCAAACAGCTTCAGTCTACAATGTCTGCAGATTGCCTGCACAATGCCTGATTCATGTTGGCACATTGACACAACAGATTTGTTGCCTGAAGTGCTACATGTTTGTACATGGTTCTTATTCAGGCTTTATTTGCTGCCTCTTCAGAAGTCCTTCAAACATATACATTTTGACACTGACAAAAGAATTTATATACTTCATATTGAACAGCTCAATATTAATCATATGTTTTAAAATGAAAGAGAAAAATGAGCCTGAGTGTTTTGGTTTTAGCAAAACCGTTGTTTTACTAACAGAATAATATTGTGGTGGGGCAGCTAAGCAAGGAGTCAATCTATTATCCAAGACCAAGCAGCTTAAATGTGATCTATGTTAGGGTTTTATTTAGACAACAGAAGAAAAAGTGGTGAGCCCTGATTTGTAGTTGTTATGGCCCCATGATACAGACCAGGTCTCTGCTCTTCCTGCAGGAATTCCTTCCTAAGGGTTCTGTGGCAGCAGCCAGGTCAGTCATAACTCCTGTGCTCTACCCCTGCCTCTGTAATTCTCAGTGCAGAAACACACAGGGTGTGTCTGGCAGGGACAGCATTCTGTGTTCTAGTGCACTGCTGAAAATGCAGTCTCAGGATTAAAAAATAGAATCTGGGGAAAACAAGTGAAATACCTACAGTTGTTACATTTTTGTGAATAAAATGTTGAGTGTTGTGGTCACCTCTGGTGTCTCTAATAAACCTGCTTTGCTCTTGCAGAGACACCTGGGGCTTCTGTTTGTGTAACTCCTTGCTTGACAACAGTTGATGCAGCTGGCTCAGAGTACATTTTTGTACAGGATCTTCTAGGAAGAGAATGAGAAAGATTTCTTGATAAAATTCAGGTGCAGAGATTGCAAGCATTACCTTAAGTCCCTAATTTCAGACCAAAGATCTCTTCTAAAATTGGGCCTGTCTTGTGATCGTTGACATCTTGAAGGTAGGCAGCAACATTTTCATGGCAACGTGTACATTGCAGCACCTTCATGTCAGTGCAGGGCAGTAACTCTGGAAAAAACTGTACTACTTCTGTCTGCTCATCAAAGTTTTTGCTTAAAACTAAAATCAAGCCAAGAAATACAGAGGAGAAGCAAAGGAATATTGTGAATAAATATTGTGATAAAACAGTTTTCTTTTTTTTTCTACAGTAGTGCACATTACTTTAAAATGAAAATATTGATAATGACATAGTATCTATAAGTAGTAGTATTATTTTTGCAAAAGGATTCTGCCTCCATATTTGAAGGTTTTGCAGTTTGAGTATTCTTTCACAAATAAACTGAGAGGAGAGGAAATACCTGTCTTTATTTTGCAGAAAGGAGCTCAAAGAATGGATGAAGACTTTAAAGCACAGGCATTTGACTCTACTCTTCCAAGTCCATCAGAGACTTTACTTTCCATTCGACTGTTAGACTTCAAAACAAGTTTATTGGAGGCAATAGAAGAACTGCGTATAAGAAGGGTAAATTTGTTTAAATTTGATTTGGTTTTCTTTGTCTTATTTCTGTCTCTATGTAGTTAATCACAGAAAATGCTGCATAAACGTGGTTAAACCTCCTGCTGTATTTTAAGTGATTCACCAACCAGAGTTTTGTTTAAAAATATAATAGAGTGTGTTACAAATTTCCCTGTAGACAGAACAAAGGTAAAAAGGTTGTATGGGAATGAATTTGGTTTTTCTGTAACAACATAAGAAGTTGCAAGGGTTGATACTCAGGCTATTGAGAAAAGCTCCATTAAATTATTATCTTTCATTATAATTCTTCTCTTTAACAGCAGTCTTTGATACAAAATGAAAAGAAGAATCAAAGCATTTTCCAAGTCCCCAAGTCTTTCTCATTTCATAATTGATTTGCCAGAAAAGTAGTGATTTTGGCTGTTTACTTGTGCTTTTCAGAATTACCTATGCGGGCAAAGAGCCATTTTAAAACCAATTTATTTCACCATTTTTACATTGCTAATCTGTGGAGCTAGACCCCTACAATAATAGTGTAATTGAGTATTAGGGGTGGGGGTATTTTGTTTTTGAAATTAGCTGAGTCATCTTGTAGTAGTACCAAGGTAAAATAAAATTGCTTCTGTGCTGGTAAAGGCAGCTGTTTTTTCTTGTAGTTAATTTGTCACTTGTATTTTTCTGTGGTTACTTTTTCAGTTGTGTGTATGTAAACATTTTTTTCTATTTCTCCCCTTAGAGTTTCTCAACTCCTGTGTGTATTGAATGACCTAAAGTGTATTTTTCTTCATCTGATAAATTTGATCTGTTCAAAAGATGTGTATTATTACTTTTAAAATATTAGTATTGATGACATGCTTGATTTATGCTTATTTTGATCTAAATGAAATGCTATAATCCTCTCTTTAAAAGCTATAAACAAAAGAATGGCTGCCATTTAAAAGAAAAAAAGAAAGAGAGAAAGGCTACATGATGGTACTTTCTTGGTGTAGTATTGTTAAAGCCCCCATGGTGTGATCCCCAGACCTGTGTTAAAATGGAACGTGTTTAGTCTAGTCAAACTATTTTGCTATTAAAAGACTGAATAATTTAACTCTATTGTTATATATAATACAATTAAATATATACATATCTATATTATACTATTATAATGATCAGAATATAGTTTTCTTTATAAAACTGCTTAGCTTAATTTACATGGTTAACTCAATGCTGCACTTTTAATACACTTGGTCAGAGCCTAAAGTGTTCATGGAGTGCCATGGGATTTAATCTTTTGGCATTTTTATTTGGGCTTTTATGCGTGTTTTGTGTCTGCTGTACTACAAGAGTTTGTGACTGTGATTTTGTAAAAGTTGTCTTAGAAGGGTGAGTAATTTTTTGCCTTGAAATTGTTTTTAGGTTCAAAATTGATGCAAATGCTAAGAGCCAATTTCACAATTAAGACAGGGCCCCAAGTTTTTAAAATAGCTGTGCTTTTCTTTACCCTAGAAAAATATACATGTATGTATATATTTACCTGTTTAGTTAGAAATTTAGATAAAAAAGTAAGCATTTTACTGACAGCCAGTTTGAAATCTTGGAGTGTCCTTTAATGCATTTCTGATTGGTTTTGGTAGTTCAGGGCTGCTGGCTTAGTGTATTTGAAGTTTGGAATATAAAACACAAGTGTTTTGAAGAAGCAAGAGTTATTAAATAATGAGGCTTATTTATTATTTATTTTTTATCTTTTTAAGTAGAATTTTGTATGGTTGTTTTTGTTTTAAAATGCCCCTAAAAAAAGCTCTCCCAATTTTAGCTATGAATTTCTTCCAAATTTAGTCAATGTGAGGTTATTCTGTAAATTTTTAATCAGCCCTGAGAGAAAGGTAGTGCATAGACCAAAATACAGGGATAACTCAGAGAATTAAAGTGCTTGTCTTGCACCATGCTAATTTTTCCATGGCCGAGAATGAAACACACAAACTTAAGCTGTGTGTTAAACTTAAACTCATCTGCTCCATCAGAAAGTGGAGTAAAATGGAAAATTCTGCAGGTTTCTTGCTACTTCTCCCACTTCCTTGTGAGGTTCACTTGACTGATAACCTGAGGGAGGCACTAGAGCCAGTACCAAGGATTTTACTCTCAGTTTTGTCTTTGACCCCTGGCTTGGCCTCAGATGAGATTATTTTACCTCTGTTTGCTTCTGTTTTTTTTCCCCTTCTTGGTCTTGCTTGCCACTTCAACAGGAGACTCTTTGGGACAGGGCCTATTGTGTATTTTGAGTTTAATAAACTGTCTGGAATGGTTGGTTAAGCTGCAGCACAAATTCAGATTAATAAAAATAAATTTGTGGATGAAATTATCTGTGTGAAACTAATAGAAAGCAAACTCTTAAATATGAAAATATTTTGAGAGATTTGTTGCAATCGTTATTCAATGTCATCATACTGTAGTTAAACTCTCAAAATACTTTAGAAGAGTTGCTCAGAGTAAGGGACTGTTCATCTGTTTCATCTTCCAAAGGAAATCCCAATTCTTGATAGCTGTGCAAGTTTGTTCTGAAGAATAATTGCTTAAATGATTATACTTGATGCGGCTTCACTTTGTTCCTTTGGCTATTCACAAGGTCTTTTCTCCTCATAGGAATTGACATAATATGAATATGTAAGTAATTAAAAGCCGCAAAAAAATTGTATTTCTCTTTCCCTTGCCCCACAGGGATTACTTCACACTCCAGTAGTTAGAGTATCTTTTGTTTTTTCCAGTTTAGCTCTCCCACTCATCTAGCACTGACTAAGCCAGTGATCCTTTTGTGCTGGATATCCCTTCACTTGCTTCCATGTCTGTCAGTCTTGCTCTGCAGCCAACTGAGTGCCTTCTTCCTAACAGCCTTTTAACTGGATTTTAAAACCCGGGTGTAAATTAGGGAATTTTTTTACTAGAATGACAGACACAAGGATAGCTGAGCATTGGGGGAAAAAAAGTAGGTATGTGGATTTAAGAGAATAAATAGCACTGAATTTCAGATCTCATGGCTTGTTCAAGTCAGCAAGCAGTGTGTTAGATGGTAATTTCTCTGTTTATGAATAATGTGGCTTTTGATTAGGAACTGAATACTTGCAGTTGGAGAGTGTTCTAAGTATCAATGCCGGCCTTTCTAGAAATATATTTTGATAGAAGAGATTTAAATAAAGAGTAATTGTAACCTCTGCAGTGGAGTCAAGGACAGACCAGTGAAAAATTTCCAAAGGAAAAATAGTGGTTTGTACAAATTTCTGTGTCTCTGCATCTGAAAGAAAGTTTTTGAGAATAGATTCCAAATATATGTGGCTATTATTTTTTGCTAACTGTTGTAACTATGAAAATTTAACAATGTTTTATCAGAAACTAAAGTTAGAATAATGCTTCTATGAGTATCTTCTCTCCTTTTAAAATTTGTCCTGGAAACAAAGCTTAAGAACAATATCCATGAGATCTACTAAAAATTGTACTGGTCTTCTTCATTCATGAAGGAATTTCTAATTATAGTATGAAACAATCAGAAATTGTAGTTTCTGTGAGTACTATTTGACCTGCATGAAAATTGGATGTGCAATTTTGTAGGAGGGAGACTGTAAGTTCAAAAAAGATACCTAGCAGCAGTTTTGGCTGCTTGGACATGAGCCAGCTGTACTCTGTTCCTAAATCTGTTCAGGGTCAAGAATCGAGGGGGCTTGACCAATCCACAGCCCATCTTGTAAAACTACAGCCTGAAGCAAACACTTTAAAGAAGGCTTGACACTTTCTAAAGGTTATAATGAGTAAATAAACCATCAAATTACTCCTCTTTTATTGTTATGGTAGTACTTTTTTATAAAAACACTTAAATCCATGTAGTCCTAAGGCATCTAATAAAAAATGAACACTTTTAAGGTTTGGTGGGTTTTTGATCCCTCATCAGAGTTATATACAATATTGTTCTCCTAAGTATAACAAAAACATTTTTGTCTTATTACATAGCTGATAGAACTTCTAAAAAAAAGTCCTTCACACAAGTTTTAGAAGTTTTCAGGTCAAAATGGGTAAACTATAAATGTCCTTTGGATGATGTAAAAATGATGGATAAGGTTTATAACCGTTAGTGATTTCACATGAGAACATTTTTATCATGTAATTTTCATTCTCAGTTTAAGTATTTATGATGTTTATTTTTTTTGACCATAGTGCATACATACACATTTTTGATAGCTTCCAGATACACCTTTATGATTTGGGAGTAAGTTGGAGGAGTTTTGTTCACTTAGAACTTTGGTTCTTATCCTCTTAAGTATTCACAGCAAAGGGCTCACTTAAAATGGAATTTAATGCCACTTTCTTACCATTTTGAGTAAGACTTTTGCTAATAATACATCATTTTCATAGGATTTGTTGCTTAATAACAGAAAAGATTGAAGAACACACCTTTTTAAAACCTTCAAGCCAATCTCATTTGGTTTCATCACTCAAGGGAAATTAGGGGGATGTATTTTCCTTCAGTACTTACAGAGTAGTACCTGGAAAAAAATCATTGCAACTATGCATTACTATTTGTTAAAGCAGAACTGGGGATCATTGATAATCTCTTAAGTTCTCTTTTTTTTTTTTTTTTTTTTTTTTTTTTTTTGCCATAAGTCGTATGAAATCTTTAGATCTCTTCTCCATCTGTATTCTACCAGTATATATCAGAGAAGCAAAAGCTAAAGAATTTTTCTCTAGTTCTCTGTGAGCCAAATTTTAGTTTTAAATGCCTATTCAGTATTTTAAATGTAAAATTCACATGAGTGATGAGGCATATATTTAGAACCTGCAAGAATCTCTTGAAATGCTTGCGAGTAGCTTCCTGTGGAAAGTATGCTTCTCTACACACCTGTACCTATAAACTGTCTGCTAAGCAAGGAAGTCAATTTTGACCCCAAAATGCTATAAAAGATATCAATGTCAAAAAACTATTTTGAATCACTTGGGATATATTTTGCACTTTTGTTTCTATTGATAAATAGTGGGACTATTAATCAAATATTGTACTAAGTGAGAAAGGGTTGAAAAATCTTCAAAACTGTTTTGCATCAATAGTTGAAGTGTGGTAAATGTCCTTGAATCAGAAACTTGGAACTTGTATGCATACTGGGCTTCAGAAAGAATTGCAGTATATTTTATAGCCATAAATTTTTGTGTTATCTTCTTCACTTGGAAAGGAGAAAAAGCCTCCATTTGTTCTTTCAGAGTGTCAGGAAAGGTATTGCTTCATTATTAATTATTCATTCATTAATGGGATTGTCTTAGTCTCATGGCAAATAATAGTTGTTCACGGTATTGCAATTCAGTAGAATTTTACTTCAGTATTAAGAGAATGATCCTTTTGAGGACTTCTTTTATTTTTTATTAGAGAGATCCATGGCCTTTTTCCCAAGTTGTGACTGTTTCCTGAAGGTTCTAACAAATTTTTGAGGTGTGAGTCGCTTCAAGAGTACTTGAATTTTTCCAGCAATTAAGATTGCAAGATTTAAACTATAGTGAAGTTGAACTTAAAAACAGCATAAAATTTGCACATAATATATCAAAATGCACTATTCAAGTATTGGGAGTATTCTTTTACCTTCACACAGTCAGCTTGGCCCTTGCTGGAGTGTGTCCAACACAAGACCTCAGTAAATGTTATTAGTGCGACGATTCATCAAAGAGAAGCCAGGCTTACCTTAAAGTGGTTCCTTTGCCAAGCTGGCCATCAGTGTGCAGAGCAAAGGCAGGAAAGCAGTCTTTTGAAGCTCAGTGACACATTAGTGGAGTTCTCCAGGTCCTTGAAGGATATTCATTATTTTGACTATGTGCAAAAACAGGACAGTGCTGAGTTGCTTATGACATGCATCAAAAACCTGAGTATTCTTTTTGCAGGAAGTCGTGACTGTTAATAGGGGAACCTTTTGTTCTTCCTGTTTTTTTTGAGTACTGGATTTGTGAAGGAAGGCCAGTGCTCATAAAAATTGGACTCCAAAGGGAAGCTGATTCCTGTTGGGAAAAATTAATACCAGAATGTTTCAGGAAAATTCACATAAATATTTAGGAACTGTGATTATCAGAAGGTAACACTCATTTGTTATCAAAAGTGATAGTTTGATTCTTGACAAAGTGCTTCTGCAAGAACAGGATCTGTAACACACCTTCGTTCTATTAGTACCTTTTGTGTATCATGGAGGAACCTTTGGACTTTAGTAATGGTCTTCTCAGATTTTCTAGTAGCTCATCAGAAATATGTGTTGATTATCCATGATTCTGTTTCAGTTTCTTTTGGTAGGTCAGAAGGCTTCTTGGCACAGAAGATAATGATAAATATTTCACTTTTTTCCATAATAACAGCAGTAACCACGGACAAAAATTTTTCAGTTGTCCTAGGAGACGTCACAAAGAATAAAGATTCAAATGCTTTGAGCTGAATTTTTAAGATGCCCCAAAGATTCAGAGTCATTAATTATGATTATCTGTATCTTTGACTACAGTAAATTCTTGAAGCACTTTTGCACCTCACTGAATTTCTCTTCATCTCAGTGTTTTGACTTTTTTATGTTTGTTTTTTAACTAGGAAACGGAAACTAATTATGAAGACCAAATAAACAAAATTGTTATAGAGAAACAAGAACTTGAATGGCAGAAGGTAACTTTCCTGTGTGCTTTTAGTGTTTTACCCGCTGAGATTTAATTTTTATATGTTAATATAAATTGAGATTTGTTACAATTCCTCTTTTAGATCTATTTTTATTTCAATAGTAGAATGTGCTAGCCAGTAGCTTATTATTTAGTCATGAACATCTGTAGCTTTTCTTTTGATTTGGAATGTGCCCAGCTTAGAGAAGTTTTTAACAAGAGAATATAATAATCTTTGGCATTACTTGGAAATTTCAGTCAAAAGAGATGGAAATACTGAAGAAATAAGAAATTTAGCTGAATCTGAGGCTTGTTGACACATTGGTGTGGGGGAACCTGTGTAGCAGCTTCTCTGTATTATGCTTGGCTTTGGCAAGTGCAAATATCAGTGCAGCAAACACCTTCACTTGCAATCTTTTGGAAGTGGTAATTTTTCCAGAAAGTTACTTTGAACATTAACTTGTATGTTATCCATACTCAGAAGTTTGTCAGCTTTTAAATGTTGGGAATGAAGTATTCAGTAACATTCTTCAGTGTAACATTCTTCTCAGAGTTAGGGCTTCTGAGGTTATGCTTTCCTAGGAAATGCATTCCCTTCTTTAATACAATCAAACCTATGACCCCTGTCACCAGGGCACAAGATAAAAGGCTTCACTCCGTATATTTTACGACCCCAGAAAAAACAATAATTTCAGCTCTATCCTTGATCTTGGGATATTTAACATCTTACTTGTAAAGTAAGGCTATTTCTTCTTGGAGTTCATCCTAACCATCTTAAATTAATAATCCTAACTCTGTGCTTTTCTTTCTTGAAAGATATATATGTGCACACAGAAACAGGAAACATTTTATATTTGTAAAAGCAAGAGTGCTTTCAATTTGTAACCCTTCTTTGCTTTTCTTAACCTAGCATTGCAGTGCTTAATATTCTGGGTTCAAAAGGGAGGATTTCCACCCATTCTAAGACCTTAACAGCAATTTAATTTACCACTCATAAAAGGATGGGACCTACAGGTAGTGAGGTGAACTCTGTTCCTGTACTTTGTACTTAACATTGGCGCATGGCAAAGCTTGTGTAAGCAATTGAGTGGTAGATTTTGGGAACTTGACATGAGCAAATATTCTGGAACTTCAAATGAACAAGCTAATACAAATTTCCAGTCCCGGAGACTCCAGTAAGATGAAAATTCTAAGTATGACATTTAAATTGAATTTAAGACCTGATTGTTTCTGAATGCAGAATCATATTAACCACAGCAGTAGTTCAATAAGTAGACATCTTCCTCTGGTTTATCAAAGGTTCTGTTTTACCATTTCTTTCATAGATTTCCCTTTCAGTCAATATTTCTGTCATTCATTTTATTTTACATTAAATTTAACTGTCCAGTTTGAAATAAAGACATTACTTCAGCTAAGTCAATAGTACAACTTTTCTACATTTTATAAATATACCGCTGCTGCTGCTCTTGAATAAATACACTCAAGCAAGGAAACCAGAATAACTGGAGAATATATTCCTTTAAATCTAGTGGGTATACTCATACTTCTGAAACATTACAATATCAAAGTCAATTTTGTTCATATTTAAAAAAAAACCCAACCTGCTTTTTTCTTCAGTCTTCAGTCACACATACATGGAAAATTTCTTCCAAGCCTGAATTTCTGACAGAGATAATAGAATCATTTTATCTGATAGTCTTGTGTGTGAGGCTTGTTAGAAAATGAATATTTGTAGACACTCCCCTGTCTTTTTGAAAATAAAATGCCTCACTTGAATATACAGTACAAGGAGATGCTATGTTATAAAGAGTTCAGTGTTGGGTTTTTTTTCCATTACGTCTATGATAAAGTTATATAAAGGATGACTGTTTAATGAAACCAAACTGATACCTACATAATTTATTCCATGATATTGCCTTGAATTCCCGTATTTTGTAGTGCCACCTTAATTTGGCAGTGCTGCGGATATAAAATTTTGTTCCTGTGGTGAGCAGGAGTACTGAAGTGGGAATAGTTGACTTTTTGTGCCTGCAGTACTGCCTCTGCCTTGCTAGTGTACTTCACTTGCCTGTCACCACCTGGAGAAACCTGTCCTTGGAACAGGGCTGAGGGACAGCCTCAGGAAAACATTCCTCAGGACATTTATATGCTTCTGAATATTCATTTATGTACTGAGCATTGTTTGTTACATACAAATCAAAACTTTCTCTACTCATCTTATGATGAGGTATTAGGTAAATGGATATGGAACACCTTATCTCCATGGATTCTTGTCTTCTATCAAAAGGCATCAGCTCTCGCTTGTACAATGCGAAAGCAACACCAACTTGCTGGAGAAAACAGCAATTTTGGAAGAGATTGTATGTTTAAAAACTCTCAATTTCTATTAAGGCAGAAGAAGACATTTGACTCCTTGTGTATGAAATAGATTTTCAATTTATTTTCTCCCATTAGTTCTTTTTAATAGTCTAATTTATATTTATTTTTGTGCAGTCATTACTGGAATGTTTCCTGCCTCACACTAATATTTCTAAGCTAAACATTCGTCTGCATTTTGAGATAGCTGTTCAAGGACAGAGCCTCTTAACTAGTTTTCCCTAATATTTCAATGTTTAGAACTTAAAAAACCTGTTATTCCATGGCAAAGGTGAAGTATCTTATAGAGAAGCATGATACTTAAAGATGTTGGAGATTTCCATCTTGTAGAGTATAATATTAGCCTATGAGATTATAATATGAAATAATAATGCAAAAAAAAAGTACATCTTCACTCATTTTCTTGATTTTATGGATGATAGTAAAGCCAGGCTGGAGGGTGATAAAAATCTCATACTATTGCCTTACACTTAGTTATTTCTGGCTTCCTTCAGCTCTTTCAGGTAGCTTGTTAAATGACTAAAATTTTACTATAAATAGAATAACAGATAATTATTTTTCAATGGGATTCTATTTTTAATGGGTATTAAAATTCTGTTGTAACTGCCTGGACCAGTGTCAAGATTCAGTCTTAAACTGGCAGTGGATGTGGATTGTTTCTGCAGGCTGATTGGATGGGTAGGAGTTGCTTACAGAAGTCCTAGAAAAAGGTCTGTATTCCAGAGGGAGAATTGTTACCCATTAAGAATGAAAGAGAAGCTGCTACCAAAAAGACAAGTACCAGTTAAAAAATGCATCTTTTTAGTCTTCAGGGTTTTTTAGTCAGTTGTGTCTTTCTAAAAAATATTTAACAATAAGTCAGCCTTTTCTTGAAATACTTTATATGTAATTTGCTCTAAGATAATACTTAACTCACACTGTTGTTACTTCACGTGAGCAGGAAACTCTGCAGCATCAGACTGACACACTGCAACAACAGAACAAAGAAGCTATGGCAGCTTTTAAAAAACAGGTAACAAAGAAAAGCCTTTGGTTTTGACAGTGGGGTTTTAAAATATGATGACATCATAGCAAGTAATCAGTTGGTAGGAAAATATTTTTCTGTTGCATATAAAATGTTAAAATATACAACTCAAAAAAAGAAAAATCATGTCCTTTCTTCTGGCCACACCAATATGCTTGTATTTTGGCAGTTCTTTCCAGACGCCCCTCCTCCTGGCATTTTTCATTTTTATATTTCAAAAATCTCCTAGAGAAGATAATGCTTCTTCTAATACTTTCCTTACATTGTTTTGCTTGTTTGGTTTTCCCCCTCTAATTTAGCATGACCTCTGCAAGGGTAGATTCATAAACCATGGTAAAAGATCTGCCACACAAATTACACTGCTCAACATTTAAAAGTGTATTTCATTCTTGTGTTTTATTCTCCATATTACAGTGAGCAAACACAAGAGCTGAGAGACCTTGCAGGGAATGTTCATAGGAACTGAAACTGTTGCCCATGGTGATGAAGAATTTGTCATTAATGCTGCATCACAATCATGTCACACAAAAAAAAACCCAAACTGACAAGCAATTAGGTTTCTCCCCTGGAAAACTAATTTGAGATTCACAAACTTCTCCTTATAACTCTACAAGTTCCTGTAGTTAAAAAAACCCCAGGAAGTATACTAGGCAGGTTAATATAACTATATTGTCTTGTTGAATTGCATGGATAAAATTATTGCCACGTGCTGTTCTGATTTTTTTGTTTGTTTTGGTTTTTATGTGACTAACAACCAAGTTACAGGCAAGGATGTTTGCCATGGAAGAAGAAAAGGTACTGTACAATTATTTGTTGTTTACCATCCAAAGAAGAGCATAAGCAAATGATAATGATATAAAACTTACCAAATATATCTTAAGTATAAACTAAGTAGATTGTAATTACATTATGTTTTTTGCTGTGGCCTTTGCAAAAGAAATGTCTTTGTAACTTGGGGTGTTTTTTTTTGTTGCTTTTTTTTTTGTTTGTTTGTTTTTGTTTTGTTTTTGTTTTTGTTTTTGTTTTTGTTTTTTTGTTTATAGACTATAGAACTTGTGAAGTGTTACTGCTTATGCTAAAAATCAGTTGTGGAAAGAGTGTTCTTTGATAGTTCCATATTGCAGCTATACAAAATTTATTTTATTCTAGAAGGTTGGGATAAATTGGGATAATTGGCCTTTACAAGTAGTACTGAAAAATAACATTTCTAACTGCCTTAGAGAAATCAGATTTTAATAGGGTTTTATTGATGTAGCTGAACTGGTTTCCTAAGGTACTTGACCTAAACTAAAATAAGATAAATTTTAGCCTGAATTTATCTGGATTTTGATAGCTACATAGGTTTTTATACCAGGCTGTATACCAGGCTGAATGCCCAGTTCCTCCTCTGAATGAAGGATTTACATTTGGTGTACAATGAACCTGTTTTAAACATTGAAGTCAGTGAATGTCTGCATGTGGCCTCTATTATTTAATTTAAATTTCGCAGTGGTTTAGAGCAGATGAATCTAATGGATGTGGCATAAGAAATTTGTAAACTGGTTAAATGGATTGAAAGTATATAAAAATAAACTTTTTTGTTTGCTTCATTGATATTTATTGCTATTTATTTTATATTTTATGGTTGAGTAATTTGATTGGGGATTTAGAATTTTTTCTTGTTAAGACAATTCATTTGGTGACACATACCCACTTACTACTCTCTGATTTGTATTTTTCAGTGATAGCTTCAGAATTAAATTGTATGCTGATTAATTTTTACTTCTGTTTCCATTGAATTGAAGAATACTTTCAGTACTTTATACCAAAGTAACCAAAAGAGTAAATTAAGCTCAAGACAGAGTTGAAAAACCAATTTTTGCACCAATTTAGATGATATGTACTGTGAGTGATCAGGGTGGTTTTGGGAGATTGCACAGCCAGCACTATGTTGGAAATGACTGGAACATGCAGGGGTGATTGAATGGATTTATTTGTGTTTTCTGTCAAATTCTCTGGTATTTTGATTCTGTTCTGCATTGGATTGACTGCAGCCAGCGACTCTTACCAAATTTAATTCTACTGAAGTCCTTTGACTTTCTCATGTGCAAATTCTTTATGTTTGTCTATATATGCACACACACACACACACACATATGCATATATATCTATATACATATAAAATGTGCTTGCATGTATTTAGTGATTCTAGCAATAGCAGGTTACAGTTCTCTCTTTGTGGACTGGGGAAAAATGAGCAGATTGTTTCTATGAAGATCCCGCTACTGCACATAAAAAATGGATTTACCTGGTACTTTTTGTTTTAAAATTTACTATCTTTCTTCTAAATAATGTATTCGTTCTGCCTTTGTCAGGTTTGTCTCTCCTGGAACAGCCAATTTTATGACTTGATGAATAGAGTCATAAGTGGTGAAAATACACTATTGGGTTTTCACTTTTCTTTTTATAGCAATATTTATCTACATTTTAAAATTATTTAGGTGAATTATTCACCAGTGAATTGTTCTGTTGTAGCGGAGTAACACTTTATTTTTTTAACATTCTTTTTGATAAATTCTTATTGTAAATGCATTTATTCTGCCCAAATCCTGAAGTACAGCTTTTGTTGAAAGGGAAAATACCAACTTGCTGTAGAAACAAAAGAAAAAGAAATTGATGGACTGAAAGAAACATTAAAAGCATTACAGGTAAACTATTGCTTTTGTAAAATAACATTTCTTTGAATGCAAGTGTTTTGGTTTTAGTTTTATACTAGTAAGAAAATTGTGGGTTTTAAGAGGAGCTTTAAAGTCTTATTGTTTAATCTTTCTAGGACTACTCACTTTGCAACACTGAGTTTCTGTTCCAATATTCAGTGTCAAGACTACTTTAAGTTAACCTTCCAGCTAATGTTCTTTTCCTCCAGAATACTCAAAAGTTCAAACAGTGTGTGAAATGTTCTTTCTTTTCATTTCCACAGTCTTCCTCTTTATTCACATTCTTGTTTTCTAACTTTACACCTGCCTGGAATCCCTGGTTTTGGACTGCTAAACAGAACTAAATATTCACACTGGGCCTCCAGCTTGCAGTGCTTCCTGTGTTTTTCAGTGTTTTTCTGTGTTTCACTGGGAGGTTTCTGTACTTACACTTGATCCATGGCCTAAGACCAAGGCAGATCTATTGAGAATGGATCACTAGCATTGCAATGTATTGTCAGATTTCAGGTATTAGCAGGAACTAATTAATTTTCTACCCAAAACTGAGCGGGATAATAATTCTATTGAAAACAAAATTACTATATTGGATTATCACTATGATTTTAAAACTTGTGTTGATTCTTATTAACATTCTCTCACAATGGAATGCATTTACTTGGTAGCAGACTGTTTGTTTTATCATTTAGTTAACACTGAATGTATTTTAGGAGCAAAAGAAGCCGATTCTCATGGCTGGCCTTCTGAGCAATAGCTGTAAGGATTTTGTTGCCTTGCTCAAACCTTGGCATAGTGTAGATGATGTAGAATATCCATCCCTCCATGGTCTGCTGAACATACTATGTGGACAGCAAGAGTAATGAAAAATCCCACTGGCCTTTCTTTTCAAAGATAAACCACAAATTAAAAAAAAAAAAATTATAAATATTGAATGTTCACAGATCAAACATTTGTGTCACAGTACAGTTCAGATCTAGGAAATTCTGCTGTGGCTGAGGTAGTCCCAGGGAAATTTTTTGGAAATACAAGAGTCAAGAATTTATATAAATACAAGCCTAATACAAGAGTGAAGAATTTTAAATTTAATTCTGTATTCCTCTCTGTAGAGTCAGAACCCTACCTTAAAATGATTGTTCTCTTGTTTTTTTCCTAGAAATAATATTTTCTGTATAAGATCTGTACACTCTAGGTTCTTTAACATTACTCTGTTTTCCCCTCATACTTAAGCATTATGCAAATCAAAATACTCTGTCAGTGGAGTATTAAATAGTGTTAATATATTTTAATGTCAGCCTTATATTATTAAAGCTCATGGGATTGGTCCATTATATCTTTTTTGTTACCATTTAGAATATCAACTAAGATACTTTGGGTTTTTTTTTTCCAACAGGTAACACACTTCTATTCCTGTAGGATTTGAGGGAACACATTTATTTCTGTCTTTGTCTTCTTCTCTATTTATTTCTAAGGGTCTAGTTTTACAGACTGTGGTCCATTTGCACGTTGTTTTTATGATGCCTGTCAGAAAACACAAGGATTTTTGCACTTTTTCAAAACTCCTCTAATAACAACTCAGTGTAAAGTGGTTTTACATAATTTAAGTATTGAAGTAACATTATGAAGTAAAGTGAATCTAATAATACATGAAATTGTGCCATCATTAATTCAAAACCAGTGTTACTATATTGGATGGATTAATAACAAGTGCAATTAAATCCTTGGTATAATAATACTTAATTATGCAGGTTGTTGTCAGAAAAAATGTAAGTACCATTTCATTAATAACTCTCTGTCGTTTTACAGATTTCAAAATATACTTTACAAAAGAAGCTGAATGAAATGGTAAGAAAATAATGAAAATTTAAAAAAAAGAAGGAAAAGCTTTAATGAAAACAGTATGTTTAGGGTATAATCCACTACTAACTGGCTTTGATACTTAAATGATATATAATAATTATTACAAGTAACACAAAGAGGTATCCGCTTAAGATCTGAAAATCTTACAAATGCAATGGTTTTAGGTTTTTATAGTGTGATAGCTACTGTTCAGCATGTGGTATTTTTTCCTCATTGAATTAAAGTAGAATTGGTATATTTTTTCTCTTTATAGATTAAAGATTTTTAATAGACTGTCATTTAAATAATGTAATTTTATTACTCTGATAGAATCTGGATAATAATATCAAAAAGTAATAGAGAATTCCTAGCAGGTCTTGGTTTTGTTTTTAAGAAGAACTGGTGTTTTTCTTCTCACTCTTTTTTACTCCTCAGAATTAGTTCTTAACATCAGTTTGCCTGAACAGTTTAGATTTCATCCAGTGCAGCTCACTCCCTTTGACACAGGGAATAAATTTACCCAAGTGACAGCATAGTGGCTCTGAACCCTGTTTTCTGTTTTAGGAAGTAAAAGAGTGAGCCACAGAAACATTGCTAGGCTTGATTGAATAAATGCTGTGAAAATTCTGCTGCTGCTCAACTGGAAAGAATAAAGATAATATTGTCAGACCATTACAAACTGTGATTTTAATTAAGAAGCTCAAAAAGTAGAGTCCAGTTTAGCTTTAAGTACCATGACATTTGTACTGAAAGTCATCTTCAACGCTACAGTGGTTTTACACAAAATATGGTGAAATTGAATAATGTGCCCTCTGACCTGGGAGATAAGGCTACAAGTTAAAGATCAAAGGCAACATAAAATGTGTTTTGTCTTACTTCACTTTTAACTTGTACTTATTCCTAAAATGCAGCTGATCTAAAAATGTGTTGAAAACATACAGAATAATTGGACTTTCATTTAGGTCATTTTACATATTATCTTTCTTTCATAACTTACAAGCTTAGTCTTCCATGTGCATGAGAATATTTAAGGGACAAGACCTTTTCTGTAAGCTGGAAAGGCATCTATGCTGCTTAAATAAATATATTTCTTATGTTCATAAACTTTTCATTAATTGATCATTTGAATATTTTGAAAGTGTTTGCTTCAATACAGAGTATGGTAATTTAAAATGCTGTTGAGTGGAGGCAAAATGCTGAAAATCCTCTTTTGAATGTAGCACTAAACAGAACACATACAGCTGGGACTTATTTAAGGAAAATGCTCTGATATGAAATGATGAAAACAAAATACCCCATACGGTAAACAAAAGTGAATTTTTTCCTGTTGCCTTTTGCAGTAGTGAGCTACTGCAGTTTCAGACCAGGTCAGATTCTAGCAACTTTACTTTCTGAGTGGTTGCACTGAAATAAGTGGTACATTCAAGGGATCAATGTAGACTCCTGGTCATCACCAATAGCAAAATACTTAAAAATCAAATGGATGAAATTCTGAACCAGTCATTTGTCTGAGTCCCATTTCTATTTCAATATTTGTTAAGGACAGATTAGATTATTCTCTGGTGTGGCATTTTGAGAGTAAACAGATGTGCTGCTCAGTTTCTATCTGGCATCTTAGAAACCCTGCCAGTCAGTGAAGGAGCTTCTGTGTGTGCTGGGGACTGGGTGTGTCTTACTGATGTAGCTTTTTATTCTGTTTTTGTTCCTTTAATTCTGTTCTTTTAGAATAGTATATGCCATGTTAATACTTGACATAAACACCGTGTTTTAGCATGCTGTCCAGTTAAGTTTATGCAAAAAATTGTAGTGCTGATACAATTCTTACCATATATGCTATAATTTTAAAATAGTGGAAGGTTTTGTTTAGTACTGAAGGACAGTATAGAGACAAACAAATAAAGGAATTTTTTTTTCTTTTATTATTTATTTGTCTTTATTACTGTCTTTCACCCCCCTACAATAAAAGTGTTGATTATTGCATGCAGTGCAGTTGTTTTGCACCTCACTGCAAATGGACAGTAGCACTCATGCAGTCAGGAGGGATTACCACAAAACCAGTTCAGTTGATAGAATACACTTGAGTGTGAGCTCTGTATTGTATTTGTTTTCCTGCTGCTGAAATTAGGAAGTAATTGGAGGAAAATGGTCAGGTGTTGGTTTCCTGGCAGACTGGAGAATACCATGACTCTCTGCATGTGGCATCTGTTCTTGTCTTCCCTTACTGTTTTTATTGGAAACTAAATATATGTGAAACCATTGTGTGAAGCTGCAGTCAGTTGGTCTAGGTTGAGTAAACCTTACCACAGAAAAGAGGGAATTTAGATCCAAATAACCCACATTGTTCCCAGCAGACAGGGAACTGTGTTCCCACCTGAACTGTGCTCAGGATCTGCTTACATGTGTCCTACTTGGCACAGGCCAAAGTGTGTCAGGGATATTTTAAAAACAGGACAGGCATTTCCTGAGAACTTTCCTGCCACCATTTAGTTTTCTAATACAGGTGTAGTTGCCAAATGAATGAAAAAGGTATTCTTGCAAAATGTTAAATAAACTTTAAAAGTTGGTTTGTTCATAGTAATCTAAAATAGGGATGGGTTTGTTTCCTTTCTGTGTCTTTTAGGAGTTTGCCTGTAATCATATTATATTGTTTACAAACACAATGAGGAGGCAGTGATATAGTATAAAGTCAACCCAATTATTTTTAAGTAGAAAAATGGTTAGTACTGGAGGAACTGTTGTGAAAATAATTCCTGTTTCAAAGATCTACAGTTGGTAGTCCTTTGCCTAATTCTTCTGTGATCTTGCCGTGGGTCTCCATGCTATTACATCTCATTTGTTTCTCTGACACTTTCACCTCCCAGTTACCACCTTCTGCTTCACTGAGTACCTCTGACTAGTGACTCCATTTCCAGAATATCTTTGAGATATGGGCCATTCCCTCTTTGTGTTTCTCCAGTCACCCACTTGACCCTGAGCTATTTCTCGGCTCTGGTTCCACCAAGAAATCATTGTGCCTCAACAAGCCATATGGCCACAATCAATTCCACTCCCCATCCCAGCTTATCTTTATTACTGGTGGAGGGCAGGGCAATAATTCCTGTTCTTGCAGTATCAGACATAAGGAAGAAGAACCAAGATTCTGTGGGTCTCACTCCAGCTCCAGGGTCATCCACTCCCTATCCTGCAGTGTCTCCTGGTGTTTCTTGATTGGCTTCTATGAAAGAATGTTTTACAACCTTTTCACTGGGAGGAGACAAATCACATACTCAGGCTTTTATTTCTCTGTGCATTAAGCCTGGAGAGCAGCCTGCCATCAAAAACCATATTTAGGCAAGTGTTAAGCTCTTAATAAAACTCTTGCAGATAGAGCAGGCCAGTTCCTTTTATCCCTGGAAGGAGCCCTGTGAGGTTGAATATTTCAACTTCTTGAGAGAGGAGGAGAGACTAACACTATCTTGCTGACTAAAGAAAGGAATTGGGATAACACTAAGAAAAAAATCCATAATAAAATCTGCAAAACTCTTCTAATCTCGCCACAAGCCATTCAAGTCTCAAATTAGGTCTGTCTTCCTGTTCATCTGTCTCTTAGAATAAATATACCTGAGGGAACTACCAGGAAAAACAAAGAAAATCTTTCCTTTTAATGTTTTTGTTATAAAATTCCCCTCCTGGCATTAGTTAAGCACAGATCTTCAACAGTTAATTTATGATTAGGAAAAAGAGAAAGTATAAGAACATTTTCAACCTACATTCCTTACAGTGATTTCTGTAAGTGTGGTGTTTCTTTACCAGTGCTTCCATTATGACTTTCCATTTGCTGTAGTGTGTTTAATTTCATACCTTATAAAACATGAGAAATTTGTATTGTATATCCTGTTTTGCTAGTCTTATGGTGGTCATTTCATTTGATTACTATCAGCTTTTATTATCCTCTGATGCCTGGACATGTATTGCATTTGTTACTGTGTGGAAATGGAGCCTTGCCAAAGTCAAACAGACTGGGCCAGATTCATCCTGGTGTAACTTGAATTTACACACAAGAATGAATTTGGCCCAGTTCATTTTAATTGCTGTGTTGCTCTACTGTAGATTAGAAATAGATTAGATATCTGAAGAAATGGTTATCCTTTCTGAGGAATTAATTTAACCCATTCTCTTCAGAAAAATTAATTTTAAAATTCACCAAATAGTACCTACAAAACTGTTAACAAAAATACAGTATAAAGAAGAGCACAAAAAACTTAGTGTTACCATGATAACAAAAAAAATTGTCACTGAACAGTTTCCACAAAATGAGAAATTGGTAAAATTAATTAGATATATTGTACTTAATTACCACATGGTTTTCATTGTGGTATTACTTAGGCCAATGTGAATAAAAGTAAAATAAAGTGTTAGATGCTTACAAAAGTAGTTAGATACACAAAGTGATTTAATCATATTTCAAGATACTAGAACTGCTAATTGATATTTAGGAATTAAGAATTACTCACTGAAAGGTTATTAATATTTTTCTGGGAAGCATGGAGTGTTAATCTGCATTAGTCTCACTAGTCTAAATCAAAGTCACCTCTACTCTAGAAGTAGTTGATGCACTTCTGATTTTTAGCAAGTGTGTTGAAATTCTTTTCTTTAGGTGTGTCATAGTTTGTGTATGCCCTTGGCATACACATACAATCCTAATTGCCCTTGGCTGTGTCATTTTCTGCAAGCCCAGGACTGGAATGGTTGAAGCTGTCAGGAGTCTCTTGTGGAGGCTCAGAGCAGGGTCAGTGGAGCCAGTGTCACAGAGCCATGTCCTGTTGGTTTTAGTATCTCCATGGATAGATTCTGTAGCCTGCCTGTGCAACCTGTTCCAGTGTTTGCCCACCCTGACAATAAATGTTTCTTCCCTCAAGTTTAAGTAAAATTTGTTTTCTTTCACTTAGCGTCAGTGAGCGCCACTAAAAGGAGCCTGGCTGTGGTTTCTTTATTCCTTTCACACACACACCTTCCCTGGTATGTACATGTTTATCAGCTCCTCTCCATGCTGAACTGAACTGAGGTCCCTCAGCCTCTCCCCAAATGTCAGATGCTCACATCCTTTGATTATCATGATGACTCTGTCTCTCTTCCTGCTATTTGGAGATGAGAAAGGTAATTAGATATGAAATAGACAACTGAAAGAGTCTGGGAATTATTTTGCATTTATGCTGTTAAATTCAAAAGTACTTGGAGAGCTAATGGGTGCTTGGTTTATGTTCCTAACAGGATCAAAAATTGCAGATGCACTTAACAGCAAAAGAGGAGCATCATAAGAAACTGAATGAAATTGAGAGGTGTTATGCTACTATTACATCTCGGTTTGGAATTGTGAAAGGTGTTCATGGCAAACTAGAGCACAGTGGTATGTATGTCTTAAATGCCTTCCAGCACTTGGCTTTGCTGTGTTTTGACAACACAGAGTTGGAGACACTTGTAAACTCAGAAAAATAGGAACTACCCCATGCAAACATCAAATATCTTCGTAGGTTCCTCAGTGCTCTTTGCTTATCCACTGCTACAGTGGTGTGTGTGATACACAAGAAATTATATTGAGGCACTATCAAATGAAACAAAAAAAAAAATTTCCCAGAATACCAAAAAAAACTTTTAAATTGCTGAATCTAACTAAATTTTTTATTTCTGCCTGAAACTAATTTTTTTTTTTTTTTTCAAATCTAGTTTCAATGAACCGGTAAAATATTCTATAAATATTTGTGGTATTTCAGTACTTCGAATTACTTATTGTGTTCAGTTTTTAAAATTTTAAATCCAGGACATTGTTGGCCAACCAATGTCCTGCTGATTGTACTTTAAAGCTGAAAAGTGAGCACATGACTTCTGTTGAAAGAGAGTTTTACCAGTTTTAGCCTGCTTGTTGTTCTGGGAGGTTTTCCTAACTTGTATCAGAAGATAGCTGTTAAATTCATCAATATTTTAATTTGCACCTATTCTCATTCAAAACTGCAAAACTGCTTATGGTACTGTAGGGCTGTTGTCCATCATTCCCCATGATGCACCATCTCTAGCAGAAAAGGAGAGGACGTTCTGGGGGTCTACAGTTCTTGTGTTCAAGTGTAGTGCCAGAAAACTACTGAGGAAAATAAAGAAAAAAGATTAGGGGTGAACGAAGAGGAATCAGAAAAGGATGAAGAGGAACCTGAGAGGATCAAAATACAAAGACTTGAATAGAACTGTCTGAAAAAGTACAGGAACCAGTGAACATCTTCAGCTTTTCATTGTGGAATTTCAAGCAATTTCCCAGTGATATCTTCACCTGTATAAAGTATAAGAGAAAATTCCCTTCCCTTTCAGCAGGAATAGAAGTAATTCTTAGAAATTTTTGCTGTGCTAGCCTCTGCTGGTTTTCTGTCTTCCATGGCCTATATGTGTATAACTCTGTACATCTGTTAACTCAGTTATTAATATGTTCTGTGGTCCACTATGTTCTGTGTTAGTCTGAAAATAACTAAATTAATCAGAAAATTACAAGAAAAGCTTTAAAAAATAAAACCAAGATTAAAAGTCGTACTAAAATGACATCCTAAGACACTAAAAATTAAATTACAGTTATAAAAGGCAAGCCAACATACAGAAGTCTTAACTCATTGTTTGAGGTACAGACAACTGGTACTACCTGGTATAATCCTCCAGAGTGATATCAAACTACACAGAAAAAGTAGTTGAATCATATTTTCAGTTTTAGGTTTGTTTTTTAAAATAAATTATATGCACATATATTGAAGTTAGAAATCAAATATTTGTTGAAATGTGAAATTATTTGTTAACATGTTTTAACTTCTTTTTTAAAGTGCAGGAAGCCATACAGCACAATAAGAAATTAGCATCAGTGAATAAAAGACAAGAGACTGAAATAAGCAATCTGAAAGAAGTAAGTACAGTGTACATTTCTTGAATGGAGAAAGATTTCTGTGGGTCCCTTCCAACTCAGAATATTCTGTGATTCTTTGGGCCTTCCAAAAGCTGCTGATGTATTAACAGAAGTGGTGGACAAGCAGCAGAACTGTTTTTCATACTATGACTGATGGCTAAATTATCTTCCACAGCCACCTCAGTTAAAACTGGAGCAGCTCTGAGAATTTTCTGTAACCTGTGAATTTATATTTACCTCTACAGCATCCTCCTTGTTTCTTGCTAATTATTAGTAACCTCTCTTCCTCCTGTGCTGTGCTGCCATCTCTTCTCCATCTGTGGGGAAGGTAGCAGTGGTGTTTTCAGTGTGGTCAGAGGTACAGCATGAAGAGCATTTGCCATGGAGGCGAGCTGGTATCTTGAACACAGGGTAAAATGTGTAGCTGAATCCCTGAAGTGGGAGAGTTTTGTGACAAGGCAGCTGAGACATCAGATTATGGTGATTCTGTTTACAAGGAAGTTGTCACTAAGCTCTTTTCTCCTGCCTCTATTCAGAAACTCCTCTTTGCCAAGTACATTTTTGAGTTGCACTCTTGAATATAGGCAATAGTAGGAAGATTACATTCTTTTCCCTTTGAGCTGTTTCTTAAGAGCTAAACAAGCTTTTCTTTTTGTTTTTCTTAAGAGAAAAACAAAAGGGCATTCAAAAATCAGACTTGTTCTGTAAACTCAATACCTTTCCACACCATATCTCTTCTTTATATCTCCTTATCTTTTTATTTCCATCCTTTAAATTTATTTTTTCCTTTAGATTCTGTAATGATTTTATATAGGGATCAAAAGCATGATTATCTCAACTTCTTGGCCTAATGCTAATCCCCAGTTTCCAGATGATTGCTTTGAATTACCATGGAATCTTTGTCAAGTTTGTGAATGTTTTTGAAAACAAAAAAGGGCAGGGGCAAAGATAATTTGTACATGAGGAAAAGGGACTATGACCATTTTATATTTGGGTTATATTGATCAAAAAATGGATGTTTACCTGTTTACCTTTCTTTGCCTGAATAATGGGATTTGAAAGTACAAAAGTACTTGAAAATTCTCCCTGAATCTACTGTTGTTTCTTTTCTTCTAAAGAGCATGTTGTTAAGGTTCTTTGGAGTGTGGTTCCACTAAAAGCCAGACTTTATCTTGAAATATAGACATTTTGAGATTTTAAAAAATTTGTTTCATTCTTACCTTCTTTAGTGCTTTACTTAATTTTCATATTTTCATTGAGATATTGTAACCACAGTAAAAATTAATCAGGAATTCAATTTGGATTTTTTAGATACATACTAGAATGTAACTTGCCAAACCTCAGTGTCAAAAAGATCAAGTTTTGAAGTGATCAAAGATTTCAGAACTCTTACCATCAGGAAAGCAGACTGAAATCCACAGTAAGAGTAAAGCAGAACGCTGGAAAAATTCTCAAATTAATTTCTATATCACAATTAGGTCTTGCAATATTTAAAAATGTTTATTCAGCTACATAATTCAAATGATAGGTTAGATATAAAAACTGTATATGTTTATCTGGAATATTTGATGGATGGAAGAGAACAGAAAAAATATTGGAAGGTGTCAGTGGTGATAACTTTCCTCTGTAGGAGAACCATGTTTGTTAGGATGCTGATATTATCATAACTCTGAAGGTCTGAGAGCAGCTTTGTCTGTGCATTGTGCACAGTCCAAATGTGTAATTCCTTTTAAAAAAGGGAAATTATTTACATGTGACAGAAACAGGAGTGTTCATTTAAAATGCAACATGTCTTTATTGTAGTATATTGTAAATAAAAAAGTGAGGTGTTTCAGGAGTGTTTCAGCATCACAGTAAATTGGATTTGTTGCTTCTGGTGCAAAAACAATAATGATTAATTACTTAACAGTCTCTGAGGGTAAGTAATTTGAGAGGTAAGAAAATAGAATGTTTAAGAAAATATTACATAGTGAATTTTGTGAGTAACATAGGTGTAAGAGAGAAATTGAAATTTAAGTACTCCAGCAGTCAAACATATTATTTGATCCACTCTTTTTTTCAGCTGCACTCTTGATTCTTAAGGTCATGAAGGGTTATGAATTTTAAATAAAATACTGTTAGATAAGCAGAAAAAGGAGGTCAACTGAAACTTAATCTAGCTTCCTCAGTTCAGCAGGAAATGCCTTTATTGTAGTTATTTCTGAATTTTTTTAATTGGTTTTTAGTGTTTGACCAACCTTTTTTGAACTATCTGAACTGGGATATTTAGGAGAGTTTTGAAAAGGAATTACCAGGCTGTTTTCATTTGCTACGTAGCTGAAAGAAGTCATGATATCAACAGCACAACTTGGGACAACTTCTAAAGCTGGTTTTATCTGCCTTGGAGACTTGACTGACCTCTAACAGCTCTGACAACTTCTGGGTTCAAACTTCTTTCCTCTGTAGCCTCAGTGCTGGAATGGGAATGGCTATCCATGGTACTAAAATCTTAATTTGGTTGTCAGCTCTTATCACAGCCATTACTTTCACTCAGACCTGGATGATCTCACACACTTGTTCTTAATGGGAATGTGAAGTTAGTGAAGTCAGTGCTATTTAACATTTATGGATATAAATAAGCTAATCTCCAATTTTAATGAAATTGCAAGTGTGTTATGAAAGTGTTAAATATGTACAACAGTAGACTTGAGTGAAATTGAGGTCTGTTCTGCACAGGTTTATTCTTCTGGAGTTTCAGGAAAGAAATATTATTTAAAGAGGTTGTAATTACATCTCTTGACATTACCTGCTTTAAGTCCAGTTCCTAAATTTTAATGTAATGGACTGTGGCAAAATTTCCTTTCAGTAACATTTGTTTTTAGATTTGAATGTTTTGATACTCAGCGTGGTAGGATTCTTTTCAACCACTGTGAAAGTGCTTGCATTAGTATCTGGCCAAGAAAAAGATTTCTGTCATTCTGCTGCTTAAGAAACAACTCTGCTGCTCAAGACCCAAAAGAGTACAAGAGGGTTGCAGCAACCTAGGAAGAGAGCAAATGGAGATAAATGTAATTTTGAATACAGGTAAAGTTTCCACTGGCTATCAGTCTTGGGAAGTGGCTACATCTGCCTGTGCTGGCTGCTTTTCCAGTCCAGCATCACTTCTTTATGCTGGAACATGCATTTGTGTCACCTCAAGGGAGAGTGGAATCAATTTTTTGTATTGAACAAAACTAGATTTTACAAAAAAATCACCAAACAAAAAAAACCCCAAACCCCCCCCCCAAAAAAACCCAACCCCATAAAACAAACCAACTAACCCAAAAAAAACCACCCCAAAAAGCAAAACAAAAACAAACAAACAAACAAACAAAAACCCCCAATCAAACACCCCAAAACAAAACAAAACAACAACAACAAAAAACCCAATCAAAAAAGTGGAAGTTTTAGCTCAGACCAACTTGGAGAAGGAAAGCAGTTTTAAGGAGCAGGACTGGGATTTTGGGACACTCTTGACTTATATTGGCATGAAGTGCTTTTGAAGCCATATCCCTAGGCACTGGCTGCTAGCAACAGATCAGGGGAATGGGCTTAAAGCTTTGTTATTCTCTCTCAATACACCCCAGAACTGATAAAGTTATTTTTCACATTCAATATGCTTTAGATTTTTGGATGCTACTTGTAATTTTAATAATGAGAAAAAGCTACTAGAAAAAAAGACAAAAACTCTGGGGTAACATTTTAATTAATTTCACGGTATAAGAAAACACATGTAGTGTGTAGAAAATTATTTTTAAAATTATTTTTGCGGCTACAAACCTTGCAATTTCACTCACCATGAAAAACTTTGCTATTATTCTTGGTGATTTCATTTGTGGAGGTTTTTTTGGGAGTTTGTGTTGGGTTCTGGCTGTTTGTTGGTTTTGGTTTTTCCTGCCTACAGCTTTGTATTAGCAGATTTGGGTTTGCTTCCAGATGGATTGTACACACCCACTTGCCATTACAATGAAAAGAATACAATCACCTTTCCTGCCTCAAGGGCACGACTCATGCTTTCCCCATGACAAAATAAGTTTATTTCCGCACACTATAAAGGTTGACTTTTGGAAACCAGCTGGCATCAGGTCCGTGGCAGGCTTTTGCACCTGCTGGTGTGGCACCCAGCCTGTGAGCTGGGCTCTCTGTCCCACATCTGCACCTCTGTGCAGGCTGCCGCAGTGCACCTTTGCACTTGCACAAAATTCGAGCTGCTTGCACCTTCTGCCACTTAACAGCAGGAGCTCTCCTTGCAAGTTCATTACATACAGAGCCTTCTAGTAAAAGCAGTACAACTGAAATGTGTCTCAGTTGCAGAAGATGGGGAAAACCTAGCTTACAGAATACAATAATTGTAAAGCATTCCTGGCTTTCAGTTATGACATTGATTCTGCAATTACACTTAGGACTTACTAGATAATTTTGAATTTATGGCTAAAATACATGAGAAATAAAGCCTCTAGCAAAAAAATGTTTTATTTAAAGGTGCTACCTATACTTGTATTTTCCATAAAATTTTGTGAATTTCAGCTGCAATGTAATCTTTCTTTCTTCTTTTGTACTGTTCTATGATTTTGTCCAGAACAGTTAACCACCAGTCTGTGATAATTCTGTGTGTGATAACCGAAATTCCAGTTTTGTGAAGAAAAGTTAAACAGACCAAACTTAGTTGTTAGATAAAACTGTGACCATTCTGAATGCTTGGTTCACCACTATGGCATCATGGAGAATTCTTGATGCTATCTGTGAGCATTCATAACCTCTGCTATTTGTCTGAGTAAACGTCAGAGTGCTCAAGGAGAGAGCGATATTAACCAGACTACCTTGCACCAGGATGGGAGGGGAGGGGGAGAGCAGGGCACAATATTTATGGCTCCAGGAACTATAAGTTGTAATTTAATGAGATCAAAGCATTTGCTGTTTATTTGCTGCACTAGAAGCTCTGAATAACTGATACCAAACAGATACAAAAAAAAAAAAAAACAACCAAAAAAAAACCCCCCAAAAAAAACCTACAAAAAATCCACAGGATATTTAAAAGCGGATAAAGGCTATAAAATCAAAGGCATCATGTTGTAGAACCTTCTAATATAAAATTAATTTAGCATTCTCTTGAGATTAAGTAATTAATGTTTCAGGAAAAGCAAAGATCCTCCAAATTTATAGCCAGTTCCTGTTTTTACCAGATAATCGCTGTTCTCCTTTTTTTTCCCTCCTCATTCCCAAGAATGTACACCATAGTTACAATAATAATTCCTATTGTAGATATGGGTAAAGAACCCATAAGACCCATTGGTTTTACCAAAACCAACTCAATGTCCACTTCTAATATACCTCTTGGAAGAGAAAATAATAAAATGATTAAGTAAATACTTCAGAGTAAAACTGGCACAATAACATTTTACCTGTGAAAATGAACTTTTAGTCACGTGTGACAAGTTTGAAGTTTAATAAGTCAGTCTGACACATTTCAATACCTGTAATTTATTCTGTTGTTTCCATACATTATCTCAAAGTAGGGCACGACCAGGACAGTTTAAAAGATTTGTTTCTGTTTTGAATTGCAATGCCTATACTGGATGAACTATTTATATGTGTTTCCTGTGTTAAGGAACTGAAGAAAGTAACTACAGACTTGATAAGGTCCAAGGTCACCTCTCAGTACAGGGTGGGAGAAGAAAACATCAATCTTGCAGTCAAGGAAAAACAGTTTCAAGAACTGCAACAGAAAATCAGAATGGTATTTTGGATTTTAAACAAATTAAAGTTTTGGTGACTATTTTTTGCAATTATTTGAATATGGCTTCATTCAGCAAACCTGCTAGCAATGATCTCTGATGGATACAGATTAGTGATTCCTTTCTACTATATTGCATATACAATATATTTAAACTATTTCCACTATAACCTTTTCTAGGGAAATAAATGCACTGTGAATATCAATATAATTTCTTAGTAAAATAATGGGTGAGAAGACATTAAAAAATCATTCAATTTCTTTAAGTAACCTGATGATGATTCACTATATCACATTAATACAATATTGTTTAAAAAATAGACATTAATTTAAAATGCCTTTCACTGTTCTTCATGTTCTTTTTTTAAGGAGACAGCAGTCAGTAAAAAAGTTCAAGAAGAAAACACTCACATTAAAGAAGAAAAGCTGGTGAGTTGTTAGTACAGCTTCACTACTTAAAAATCACTTAAGATTGTAGGTGCTACATTTCGTACTTAGGTTTCTTATTATACTGAGTTACAAAAACTAGTTAATTTCACTTGTTTACACTTCAGAAATATTTCAATACTGGCCTAAGCGGTGTCTTCTGCTCACTTTTTAGAAAAAGTATTACCAGAACAAGGTCCATTATTTGACACTCTATTCCAAGTCTTACATTTTGACTTTGAGTACAGATGGGAGAAATTTGGTATTCCCATGAAACACTTGGCTACATGTGGGTTCAGTATAAATAAGCAGTAATGCTGGCATAAAATGCTGTTCTGCTTTCTGGTTGCCAACAGTTTGTTCTAACATTGCTGGTACTGAAACCAGGTGAAATGGGAATAATGTGTCAATGGTACACGAAGGAAATGATGTTCCATTTAGACTATTAAGCAACACCTTTACATCCCTGAACAGAAGTAGGACTGTCGTCTCTTGCTAACTCAGGTATATTCCAGGGAAAATCCTTTTTAGAAAAAGGCTATGGAGTCAAGTATCAAAAAAATTTTTGTTCCCTGTAATAACAATATAGGACACTGCTTTGCAGAACCTTAACCATGAACGAGTGATTGGTTTTTTTCCTTTTCTTGAACAGTGACAGAACTTTCACTCTACAGTTCAGAAAAGGGCACAGGTCAGAGAAGTGTGTCATTCTTGGTGCCAGGGAGGGACAAAAGCAGAGTCTTGCTGGCATGGCCATAGAGCACTCATCCAGCAGCACTCTTCCAATTTATAAAAATCTGCTTTCATTTTTGAGCTTGCTTTTAAAAAATACTTGCCAATAAAAACATGGAAAAAAATGAGAGACTTACTCAGGCCTCATTACTCTCCCAGCCCTGAATGCACTAAAGGGATTTCTGTGTAGATGAATGGAGCATAATTCCTGGAGCATATTTGCTGTGTTATCTAAGAGAAGGATTCTGGTTTGCATCTCTCTCTTGTTCTGTGTGAATTCCTAGGGTTTGTTTGGTAGGTTAGTTTGAACACATGGAGGGGTTTGGTACTGTCTGGAGAGGGCTCTAATGTAGAGATGAGCTTCATGTTTCCTCCAAGTGCTTGGGTTTGAAGACATGGATTTCTGTGCTGTGGAGCACTCATAATTCACCTTGAATTCACCTGAAATGCTGGCTTCAGTGGTTCTTAGTCTTAGGCTAGAAGTACCATCTAAATTACAGCTGATTTGTACTAAACTGTGTGAGAGAAGCAGTCTGGTCTATTTGAGAGAAAACTGTCCTAGATTTAAAAGATGTGGCCAACTCTGCTACTGACCTGTTGGGTGACACTGGCAAAGCCATTCCACAGCTCTTCAGTTCAGTCTTCTGGATGTGAAATTGAACTAAAAATAAATTAACCTTCAGTGAAAAAAATATTATTTATACATGCATGAAAAGGAATGAGAGTACACGAAAATATTGATTTTATTTTTATTAAATAGCAGTATCTTTTTACACAGTAGAACCAAAACTAGAATAATTTGAAAAGACTTTGCAAGTATGTCAATATATTTTAATAATATGTTCCTATCATTGTATTTTGAGGCAACTGAGTACATCTAAGATTCCTTTCTGCCTAAAACTCAGGTTTTTTTCTTGCATATCTTCTTTTAGTAACTGCTGTTAGTGGTCTTGAGGGGGTGATAATTGGATTGTCTGGGTCATTCACTCTGTCTTTCAAGCTTTGGAAATGTGTTTTGTAGTGTTCAATAAAAAATGGCTCAGTTGCCAGCAGACTGCAACACACTTCATTGCAGCACCCATGGCACCTTCATCAACTCAAATCAGCTCCCTTTGGGTGTCTCTTTTTTTACAACTTCCCCTTCATGAAGTAACAATACAGCCTTGAGGAGGGTACCACCACAGTTCAGACCCTGACATGATATAGCTGCACCATATGATGCAAAGGTAACGGGTGGTAGTTCACATGTATTAGGATTTAATTCAGGAGACACAGAATAATTTCATGTTAGGGTGATCCATTTATGGAATAATTTCTTTTGGTTTTTCTATATTTTTCAGACCTGTGATATGGTAAGACAAATTTATTCTGTTTGTCCTGAATAAAAATCACAGGAGGGTTGGACTAGATATATTTTATCCAGATTTGCACTGAAGAATGTATAAAGATTGAGAGGATTTAATTTTAATTATAGGAAAATTCTCTGAAAAAGAATGTTATAATAGTTTATAGTAATGTTAACTTCTCCAAGGTAAAAGACCAGAAAAATGGGCGTTGTTCTGATTTCTCCCTACAAGTGTTCCGTAGTATTGAGGTTGGAGTACCTTTTTTTACACACATGATTTTGTAAAAACTGACAGAAAAAAAAGAACTGACAAAAAAAAAATTACTATAAAAGCATAAATTATTTAATGTTTAAACGCCAGAAACAAAATCTTGCTCAATATATTCTATTCTGTTTGTATTACTAAGGAAATTCTCAGCTCTCTACAGTGTGTGCAGGAGCTGCTTCAACGAATAACCCAAACGAATATTAGAATGGAAAGTGAATTAAATGCACTGAAAGAAGACTATCAGGTCAGATTTTTCTTGATTAGACAAGCTGTTATTATCTGTTATGTATTTTTTAAGTCCAGGGCTGTTAAAGACATCTGTGTGCCTTTCAGAACTTTTGACCTCACTTCCATTGCTCCCTCAGCTCCTTAACTGTCAGCACAAACCTTGAAGCACAGGCTGTGCTTTCCCTCTTCTCTCCCTAAAGTAAATCATGGTTGCCATTCTTAGCAGCCACTTCTAGAGGGCAAAATCAGAACAGAGTTGCTTGCAAATACTGAAATAAAATTATTTTATGACTTTTTTTTCTTGTAATTTTCATATAGATACACATTTCTGGGCAACATTTAAAATTTCAGATCTTCATTCATAGCTGGATCTTGTCCTCAGTTTTACTAAAGCAGAGGGCCTAAGAAAAAGCATTATCTTTAGCCCTTTCTTGCTGTGTTTTCTGGCATCATGTTTATGCTAGAGGTGGGAAGTAGTCGCACTGAAAAGTGTGGAGTTGCAGCACTCCTCAGTTCCCCTTTGTCTTGGTTTAGGACAAATTTCAGGAAGAAACTTTTGAAGTGGTCCCTTTAGAAGCAAATTTAAGCAGCCTCTCCTCCCACCAGTTTAGGAGACATAAGTTTCCTGTGAGAAAAGTGGAAAAAAAATGTTTATTTAACAAGCAAAGTACTCACAAACAGGAAAAATGAATAATACTAAACAATGAAACTTCTCATTGTTCTGAAGAGATGGCAAATTCAAAAAGTCTTTCTGTAGTTCAGAGTATTTTTGTGGGTGTGTCTTCAGGTTTTCCTCAGTCTCTCTGGGGCTGAGTCTGGTGTCTGCAGTGTAGCTTGTGGTGACCCAGACAGTAGTCCTGATGTTACTGGACTGAACAATAGCTGAACAGTTCCAAATAACTTCTGGTTTCAGCTAACTCAACAAACCCAACTAATTAAAAGCAAAGGAGAGTTCTGTTCTGTTGTCCATGCTGCAGACAACACAGAGGGTGCAGATTCTTTGCTTCTTTTTTCTGCCAAGGTCAGGATTAAATGCACAAGACAGTATTTCTTGTTGGGACTCAGATGTTTATTGGTTATTATTCTACAGTCTCACCAACCCTGAGTTCTACAGCACTTCACTCTAACAAACTAAAAATGGAGCCCTATCTCCCTCTCTGCAAGGCCTTTTAAGGATAAACTGTCCAATTAAGAAATGACACCTAAATTATTTTCATTTTTAACCCAATAACCAACCACCCGTGGCCCACAATGCAGACTTCTTATCCATTTGCATAAAACCACCCAAGAAGAAGGTGAAGAAGAAGGACCAGCCACTGCCCTAGAACCTCCATCTTGCCTTATATATATTACTATATTCTAAAACCTTAAACTCTTAAGTTTTCCACCCTGTGATGTTACACACTTATATTCAAACTCCACACCCACAATCCCAGTTCTATCATTCCATTTTGGAAACCTTCTCCACTGCCTCAAGTCAAATGCAGAGTTCTCTTGGGTGTCAGTGCATGTCAGCACAGAAAGTGTGAAATTCTCAGTAAGCAGGGTTCCAAGTAGGTGAGAAGGATGCAGGAGAGCAAATGCAGTTTCTGCAAACAACCTGTGTGTTACTTCTCTCCCCCTTCACTCTCAGAACCAGTCTTAAAGTTGCAGAAACTAATGTCCTGCATAAACAGAACGGACGACCGAGGACACAAGCATCATAAAGTCACTCTAGGACACTCTTTCAGCCTGTCAAAGCAGCTCAGAACAGTTCAGATTCCACATTTCAATAGCAGTTAGTGCACTGAAGATTAAGGTCATATCCATTCCCATCAGAGGTTTCATGCAGAGTTCAGGTACAACCACTGACTGGACTATTAAAAATTATTAAAATTATTATAATTATTATTAATTAATAATAAAAATTATTATTAACCACAGCTGTTCCACTCTTTGAAGCCAAGGTTTTGAACTAGGAGTTCAGTTAATTTCAAATTGAACTTCCAGTGTGGATGTATACTTTTGTTTCTCAATGAATGATGCTATGCTAATTTGGAATGATTCACTTCCCCTAAGACTTTACTCTTAACAGGGGTAAGTAGTTTGCCTTCTGCTATAATATAGACAAAGGACTTCGGTATTTTGATGAAACAAGTAAGGTTGAAGGTAAGCTATGCTCTCCATCAGAAAGTGGCTAAAATCTCCCTAGGAATTCAAGCATCTGCAACATTTTTACAAAGATTAACTGAGAAACCCTTTGGCTCTAGAATTGCCTAAGGTGGCATGATTTTCTGTAGCTTCTCTTATTTGTATATTGGGTCCAGTGAAACAGCGGGATTACTTGCTATTCATACAATCCTGGTTTTTGTTAAAGTCAGAAGGTAATGTGCTTTTTATTTTTATTTTTAAAGATAATTAGAATTGCTTTGTAGATTAAAACAGAGGCTGGAGATAATACATAACCTACTGATGATGACTTTCATAATACAGGAAGCCTTTAGTCCTTTGTGTCAGGACTATTGAATAGCAAGTGTATTTTAAAGTGCTTTTTTTCATAGCACTTCTGAGCTATTGTTTCCCCTCTCAGATAAAGTTTATAGTATGCCTTAAAGCTCCAGTTAAAACAGTAAATGGTATCTGTGAATCTTCTCTTTGAAGACTGCACATAAAAGTCTACAAGTATGGCTTATTTTCTTCTTGTTAAGGTATGAATGGAGGACAAATCTCTGTTTTGCAGCCTGTGCAGGCCAAAAATTGATTTCTGGTTGCAATTATGCTAGTTCTGATGAGAGCCTGCTCTGATTTGGTCTGTTTATATCAGACATTGGGAAGGTATTACTGTTTTTGATTGTTCTAACTACAGCACAAACCACTACTGGTCATCAAAGCTCCAGTGCAGTCCTCAAGGGTAACTTCAGGCATAAATACTTTAGATGAAATGAGTGTTATAAGGCATGGATAACCAATAAGAGGCTCTTGGTTCCACCTTCATTACTTAAACTGATGTAAATAGACCTTTTTTTTTCAGTTTGATACAATTACCATGATATTCCAAGAAATGAGACAATATTAGCTTCTTATTTTGCATTTTTTGTATTTTTTAAAACATCAGATTGAACTTAAAGAATAGGGAGATGAATATATAACTTTAAAAAAAAAAATTGTGAAGAGATGACAGAATACTTGAGAATGCAAGGAATTCAGGTATCCCCCTGCCTGTACAACTGGCTTTAACATGTGATCAGTTCCACACATCTGCTACTTCTGAGACTTTGCCCTAAGAGCTATGCTGTGAGTAACTATACTCATCCATCACTGAGGAGCTGCATTTCAGGTGCAAGTAAAAGCATCCTTGGAGCTAAGAACAGGTTCATCAAAGAGAGGAGGTCTTGCACTCCTGGTTTATACAACTGCATGAAAAAGGCTATATCAGAGTGGGATTGTTCAGACAATGTATTGCTGAATTGTCCCATTTTTGGAAATACATAATCTGTCAAAGAAGATCCATTATATTCTAATGCACAACTATCCCCATGTGTACAAAAGTGCAGGGTGGTTTGAATTTTCCTAGTATTAGTACCTGTAAAATATAATTTTTTTAATAGTTTAGCTAAATTAACATAGACATTTTAAAATTGATGCTAACTGAATCAAAAAGTGGACTCATTTTTGGTTAAAAGATTTAGTAAAAAGGAATTTGAGTATTGCCTCCATAACATTTTTCAAGTGGACTTTCAAAGACACTCAGCAGAATCATAAATATGTAGCTGGTCATATAGCTCATACATTAAAGTTATGCTTACATTATCAAATATATTTGTGTCATCTATATAGCAGGCAGTGGAATGCAGTGACTCTTATCTTCCATATTGTTTGCTATAAAAATATGATAGGATGAATTCCAAGAGTACCTGATACATGTGTGAAGTTGCCGCTGATCTACACAAGACTCCTTTAATTTAGCATAGGAAAGATGAAAGAGTTAACCCAAAACTGTTGCCAGTACAGTTATGGCGGTATAAACTTAATATTACTGTTATTTCAATACACTCCTATTTCAGTGACCTAATAAAAATAAATTAAAGCATAATCAGATACATACTTCATATTGCAGTAGGTATGTTTTAGAATGTAAAGACTGAATAGTTTATAATGAACAATTTAGGACAGAAAAACTGATTATAAAAATAATTTTTTCCTGTCAGTATAGAGAAGCTTTTTCTTTAAGTACAGTGGCTCTGGATTATGCTACATTTCATATCTCTCATCTCTGGACTTTATATTACTTTTTCAGCGCATTAAAACTTATGCAGTGAAACTGAATAATGGCAAGTGTTTTTATACCCTTTTATAGCCATTTCTTTTTTCATAACCTCCCCCTGTTTCCTGTTAGCTAAACTATAAGCACCTTTCTGTTAATTTATGAAAATTATTGTTGAGATAGCACATTACCACTGATCTGTATGGCTCTTGCAGCATGTTAGAAGCAAAGGTCCAAGCAACATAAAACACATCAAAATTCATTAATGTGGTATTGATTATTTTTTGGATAATTAATTTTATTGCAGGCCCTTGAAAGAGATAATGAGCTGCAAAGGGAGAAGGCAAAGGAAAATGAAGAAAAGTTCCTTAATCTTCAGAATGAGCACGAAAAGGCACTAAGAACTTGGAAAAATGATGTAGGTTTATTAAATTAAGTGCTTTAGTATTAAAAGTTTTTTTGAATAGTTGTCAAGCATTTCAGGTAATCACTAAAAGCCAAGAAAATATAGCAGAAATAATGCAATAAAAACAACTAATTTCTTTTCCAGTAATGCAGACACTTCTAGAAATGAATATTTTTTCAAGGTAGATTTAGGTTAACTTGTGTGCTCTAAAAGGTCAGTGCTCTTCCTGCAGTTCTGATTTTAAAGGAATTCTTCAGTGTAGACTGAGGGTGAAAGGGGGTAAGAAAAGGTGTGTGTCTGCTATGTCCCCCTAGTGAATTCACCTCTGTGGATGGACACCTAAACAATAGTTTGTCTTCTATATTTGACATTCTTTCCATTACCTCATTACTTTTAAAGAATACTTCAGTAATTATTTAATCCAAAACAATTAGCAAAATATTGTAGCTGTAAAAATTGTCTGCAGTAATAAATGCATGTTTAGATATAGGAAAGATTAATACCACTTCAATAAGACAAGATCTGCTTAATGTGTGGAAACCAGACTCTTAGCAGCATTTGTTTAATAGTCTGTCTTTTTTATTTCTGTGTGCTTGGCACTTGCTGCCAGAATGGTTTTGATTTTGGTAGATAGATTTCCAGGGAAGCTGTGGGGAAATAATGCAAAGTTGTCCTTGTAATCCTGTTGTCTAAGGCTCACTCCTTTGAGTGTAGCCACTATGGGCATGACTGCAACCATGAGATCACAAAATATCTGAGCTGTTCTGATGCTCAGTTCCCTGAAATTTGATTTCCCTGAGTCCTTGGAGAATTTTATACCACCATTTTCTCTATAGACATGGGAAATTGCCCTGCTTAATTCTCAAGAACATTTGCATCTGTTCTGTAGAAGATAATTGTTATTCCTTTTCATATTTCTGCTATGGATAACTAGAAATTTTGTCTCCTAAAGTAAATCATCAAGGATAAAATTAACACTGGTCTGGAAATCTTTGTAAATTAAGTGAAGATATTCCTGTAAAATTGCCCTTAGATTATTTTTACAGGTTGTAGTTTGGACCATTCTGTTAGTTCTAAATACAAAAATTTAATTGTTACATATTTTCTGAGGGAGCATTGGATACTTGAGGCTATTTACAGAAGTAAAGGGCTAAGCAAATTATTTGCTGTTGTGGTTTCTTGACAATGTAGGTAAAGAATGAGTTTTGAATATTACATTTATCTTGGAGCCAAAAAGGAAGAAAGCTACAAATACAAATCTCACTTTTTTGGAGCATTGCTACTAGCAGTAAATGGTGAAAAAAAAAAATCCCAAACCATTTAATAAAAGCTATAATCAGTAATGGAAATGTAGTTAAAATTTTGGTTTGAATGAAAGAGCTCAATTACTTTGGACAAAGAAATTCCTTAGCATACTTTCTTTTAAGGATGAAGTTTCATTTGCTGAGCTGTTCATACCTTTGAAAAATGCTGGTTTACCTATTTGAACATGCAGTAAAGTGTTGGTGTGCTCTGTGTACTTGCAATTATTACAGGAGGAAAACATGAGAAGAGAAATACACAGTATTAAAAATGAGCTGAATTCCCTTAAAGGACTTCATAGACATCTTGAAGATTATCATCCTCCTCCAGGAAATCAGCATTCTGAGCAAGTGGAAAATCTGCAGGTAAGTGTCTTTACTAGCTGCAGTGTGTCTTGTAAAAATGCCAGAGAGCTAAAGATATGACAGTTTTTCTAATCTTGTTTGTCATGTCCACTGATCCTCCTTTGACATGGCTTAACCTAAAAATTTATGTGACAATGGCCTTAAGTATCCTTGAAACTTCCTGTACCCACAGAATGTTCTCCTTTTATCAAGAGAGGTGTTTATATCACAGAAACCTGAGACAGTACTTCATTAATAAATTTTTGCCTAACAGACAGCAGTTAACTTAAGCCACCTATCTTTACTAAACCCTATATCACAGACATATTTTCTGTGGGTATTTCTCAAATACTGGGGCAGATCCAATTGACTTCACATGTGTGTAAGTTCCCTGGAAGCGTGGAAGCAGGTCCACTTTTACTCAGAGGAACTAATTTCAGCTCCTCTAAAATCTGTAACATGGGACAGATCAGAAGGTTGTTTTTATCAATACACAGGTTATCTAAGTGCTTCAGTTTTAGTTTAAGAAACACAAACCTTTATATCACATAGCATGTTTAGGAGTCATTAAAGGCACAGCAAGCTCATCCGGTGGTGAATGCAGGGGGTAAAAGACGTTTATGCAGCGCAGGCTGAACTAGAATTGAGCTTGGATTGTTGGGTGAACCAAACCCATGTTCAGTTCTAGATGCAGGGCACATATGGGAAGTCAACAAGTGGTTAAGCACACAAAGATGGGCTTTTGGAACAAGAAGAAGAACACATAGCAGCTCTGTTCCGCAGCTATACATATAGATATAACAGATCCCTCTGTTTTATTCCCTGCAGCTCTGTGTTATCCCGTGATCAAACTGGATTGCAAATTTGTATTCCAGTCCTCTATAGAATTGAAAAAATTGGGCAGAGTCAGAAGCCATAAGAAACCTTCTCTGTTTCTGTTGTTCTGTTGAGTATTTTCCATTAACTTTTACAAACAAGTAATGATCTATCCTTCAAAGAATGGAAAACTCATTTTTCATGTATACAGTCTTGTTTTTATTTAAAAAAAATAGGAAGACATTAGGACTGTAAAGACAGGTAGCTATTTTAGAACTAGTCCATGAATTGTCAGTAAAATGACAAGCAGTAAAATATTTTAGGATTTAGAAGAATGTAAAATCAATTTCTTTTCAATGCACGTACATATGTATGTTTATAGCTCACACACAAACATATACAAGGCTGTGGTATGGGCTTAATAATGGGAGAGAAATTAGACATGACGTGATTACTCATTGTGCCAAAGCTGAACTCTACAAGGAATAATGCAAATTGTGTATATGCCTTAAAAATCACTGTTTCCTTGAATGGAAACGGAATATCGATTTTGTTTAGGATGCAGAATCAAAGTGATTAGGCATTCATGATAAACAGTATTGGTGCTTACTAAGGTAACCCCATGGGTCTGAAAACAGAAAAGCTTCAAGCATATGCTCATAAATGCAAAAGAAGTCGGATGTCTTCCAAATATACATCTTACACTATCTTATGGCAAATTGCCACACCACTTTGTGTTGTACAGTCATTAGATTTTCAAAGCTAGGCAGGTTGGACTGAGTGGAACACTGCCAAGAAACTGAAGCTGCAGCAGATCATATTGATTATTCTGATTTGTGCAATTTCACCTTGTATCAGTAATGAGTGAACATCTAGTGACACATAAAAGGGAAAGGTGTTGGCTAGGATTTAGATCGTGACTATGGTTCAAAGTGTTCTAAGGAAATATGCTTATACTTATTTTTACACCCAAGCAATCTGAAATCCCTGTGTTTATTTGTGGGATATGAAATTCAGAATGTACTTAAACTTCTTCACACTGATCACCTCTGGAATAGTAATTAAACAAAAGACATTTTTAAAGTAAAGGTACAATGTCAGATCTCATTACAGACTTGGATTGCAATTTAGTTTAACCATACCATGCTTCACCTTTAGTTTGATATAGTTTGTAATTCAGCTGTGTACCAGTAGAGAATAGGGTTACACCCAGAAATGGCTTGCTGTAATTCTTTTGTGGGTGGATGTACAGGGAGATCTGGTTTTCAGAAGGGTTTGAATTTCATACTATGAAATAGTCTGTTGAGGGAAAGGATATTTAGGGATATATGTGTTTCTTAGTTAGATTTTATTAAATCACAGGCAAAAAATTAAAATCCAAGTTTAAAAGTTTTGTTATTTAGGAATGTTAGTCGCCCATCTTGGACACATTTTTAAGGGCTAAACAGCCTTTTGAATTTATTGAAAAGCAGCTTTCTTCAACCCATTTGAAAACCTGGAAAGGAAACATGAAACCTTTCTGCCTTTCTATGAACACTTTGTCCTATTTGTTTCAGATGCAGTCACCAGCTCAGCCCACACCAACAAATGTGGTAAGTTCAACTGCAGTGGCTGTCTTATTAATGTACAAAAAAGTAATATACACAGTTATAGAGTGGTGTTTCTTTCTGAAGAAAGAACTCCTAGAAACAAGAGGTTGTAAGATAATTACAGATTTCATTAAGGGAAAAGGAAATTTCTACTATATGTATTCAAAACACTTGAAAATGTGATGCCAGGGCTACATAGAGTAAAGAAGCAAAATTAATTAAATACCTAGAAAAGAAAAAAAAATGCAATGTATACAGTTTCCAGGTGTGACAGGGTTGATGACAATGATAAAACATGAGGAAAAGAGAAAGAGATTTCAACTGAAACTTCAAATTGAGGGTGGAGGAAAATGATTTTAGGACCCTTCTCTATTTACCGTGATTCCTCCCTCCCCCAGTCCAGCAAGGCTGGGAGCATCAGGATGTTCCTGTGATCTGTAGGAAACTGTTCCTGGTAGAATTGTGTTCTACATGCCCTACTCTGCCAGCATTGCAACTACCCCATTTTTTAGCAGTGCTGTCTTTGTGCCTCCCTCTGCTCTGCAATATTCTCTGTCCTCCCCACACAGCCAGTGCCCAAGCACAACTCTTGTAACTCCCTCCCACATCCCAGCCTTCCTTCTGCAACACCTCCAGTCACCCAAGTATCTTCAGCTTTTTCCCACATCTTTAATGGAATAAGCTCCCTCCCACATCTGCCTACTTTTATATCCTATCTTTAGGGCAAGAGTCAGCACGTGCTCCTGTCTTCAGCTGCCAAACAGTTGATGATGATAAAGGATGCATCTCCTTTTGCTTTTATTTTGGTGGGATTTTATTATCTTCACTATTCAGGCCCTAGTTTCCACAGAACTTCATTGACTGCAGCTTTCAAAACTGAACACAAATACAGACGCAGTAGTAACTGACCAGTGATGTAGACTTTAAGTAGACAAAACTTTCAGGCTTCTATTCTTGTTGAATTTGACTCAAATTCAAGTTAAACTAGATATTTGGGAGGGAATGAGGAACTAAATGTCAGGGATTGTAAATTCAGAAACCTTATTTGCCTGTGAAATAAAGTTAAAAGTCCTGGGTAGTTTGCTAGAAAAAAAATGTTATTCATATATGCATGTGTTGTTTTTGTGCACATGTTGTTTATGTGTTTGGGTGTAAGCAGCAATGATGCAGGATTTTTGCATATGGAATTACTGAGCAGGTCACTGAGTGGGCTAGCAGAAAGAGGGAGTGATCCAGTCACCACAAGTACAACACAAATTCCTTTCACTGAGGAATTCTGAAATGTCAAATGAATAACTTTGTTGACTGTCATATAGCAGGACCTGATTTCTTTCCTGTCTTCTAGGGTATTAGTCTGCTTTTTTTCTTTTCCTTTGTTTACATTTACTTTTTATGCTTCCGGTCTTTGTTTTCCATCATAATTGTAAAATTAATTTTAAATCTCAGTCCTGAACCTTTTTGCCTAATCAGTGACTATAGTAAATTGCTAAAATACCTATAATCTTTTGTTCTTTCCTATGATAGAGTGGTCAAGAACACTCAAAAGACAGTGAAATACAGGTTATTCAGAAAGAGCATGAGTTTATGCAGTCTGTAATAAGAAAATATGGTAATTGTGGAAATGAAGAAGAAACTGAAGTAAAAAACACAAGGGACCAGTCTTCAAGCATTGACGAATTAAAGATAGAACAAAGTAATAACCTTCCATGGATAATAGAGATAAGTAATATTGTTAAGAAAGGAAAAATATTTTCAGATACAGTATATGACAAGACAGGGCTTAAATACTGAATTAAATGGTCATATCTAAAATCCACAGAAGATTAATATATTCTCTGCTCTCTCAGTTTATAAATATTTTGCAAGTTACCATAGTGCAATACTTACCTTCAGTAACTTTTTGACAGGCTTGTGTGTGTAATATAAGATATCACTATTTATATCAATCCTGAGTCCATCTCTTTGGAAATTCTAAGCTGTAAAAATAAAGCATTACATAACCTCTGGGTCAGTCACTAACTAGAGAACACCCTCACTCTTACAGGGTCACAAGTTCTTGAGAACAGTTTTAAGGATGAAATTAATGTTGCTAGCCCTTGTGAAGTAAAACAAAGGGAGGCTTCTCCCAGGAACACCCTCTGCACAGATACTGATTTAATTACCCAAGGACACACCTCAGAAATGCATGTCAGTGGATGCAGAGAGGCAGAAGATGCAGGAACAGCACACAGAAGGTTACCAGATGAAAACAATGCAGATTCAGATCAAAAGCCATGGGACAGCACTGAGCCTTTGGCAGAACACCACACACAAACAAGGAAGGACTTTTTGGACAGTGCTGAGACTGTGGGTGCTGACAGGAAAAACAGAAGTCAGGAGACTGACACGAGCAAGGAAGAACTGTGCAATAGCGCAGATGAATCGACTTGTGCCAAGGCAGATGCAAACTCAGACACCAGACAGCACAACAGAAGTGGCTTCACACCTGAAGCACCCAAACACGAGTCTGGAGCTGTTCTTTGCACTGAGAAGAGTGCTCTGCATGACAGAAGTACAGACAACCACCAAGCTAAGGAGTTAAGTTTTGGCATCCTACCTTACACTAAAGAGAATTCTCTAGCAGAATACCAAAAATGCAGCTTGCTGAATAGTGACAATTCTCTAGGCAGTGGATTACATAAAACAGAAAAAAACTTAAATCTGAGTGGTTTACATAGAGATAAACTTCCTCTGGAACAGACACACGTAGATGCTGAAGGCAGAAATGATGACAATACCAGAAACATGAACAGCACTGGTGTTCTGGAAACTGATGCTCAACATCCACCAACTGTTTGTTGTGATAACACAAGTGCTGATGATGGTGCTGCAAAAGAATGCAGAGACAGTAAGTCTCTCTTAGGTACTTTTAATTTATGCCTCCCAGAAACTGAGAGAGGAATAAGTGCAGATGATATGCACAGCAAGCAACCTGAAAAAGGAAGTGCTAAACAAAGAGGGAATGCTACAAACACATGGACTTCCAATGCTGAAGCCAAATCTCCAGTAAAGGCTGATGGTCTCGAAATTGCTCATAAAACCCCCCCAGCAGATAGGTCACATACAGATAAACTAATTCCACGTAAAAATGTTAACAATGGTACTCAGATACACTCAATCAAAACTGGACACTCCCTGGAGATTAATACTTCAACAAATAACACATTGTTAAAAGAGAAAAAAGACTTGCTGAGTAGTACAGTTCCAGGAACAAAGTTTGCTGAGGGTCACCTGAAAGAATCATGCTCTTTACCCATGAGAACATCTGGAAATTTAGTAAACACAAGTGTAAGGTCATCCTTTGATCTTTCAACCTCAGATAAAAAAGCTGAGAAAACTCCACTATTCCTGAATTTTTTAGCTCTCAGTTCTTGTTCAAGAGTAAATCAAATGAAAGGTCAAGCGACATGGACTTCAGCTTCCAAGGAGCCTTCCCTTTTGAAAGACAAACTACCATGCTTAGTGGAAAACACAAACATTATTTCAAACACACAGAGTCAAAATCTCAGTGAAAATGTGGACAGTGGAGAAACAGGACAAGGTAAGAAAATATAAACATTAATGTTCTCAACCATGTAATGCTTAGAAAAATTATTAGAATGTGAAATGTTTGTATCTAAGCTTAGTGTAGAAAAATGTAAGCCTGATATTTTACTTATATCATAAAAGGTGAGATTGCTCTGTTTATGTTATAAATGCAATTAAACAGCTTTTGTTAGCTTATCAATCACTTAGTTGATTAAGTATTTTTTTTCTCATATTTCCCTTTGTGAAATAACAGCAGTGCAATTACAAACTGAATTTTGATAGGCATTTCTAACCCTAATGTAGAACATATTGTATCAGGGCTCTGCATGGATCTGAAAAGCATTGAGTAGCTTTTGCAAATTATTCAGTGTTCTCATTTTTAGGGTAGATTTCAAAATTAGGGTAGATTTTGAACCAGTAGCTGCTTCTTTGAATGAGTCTTACAGAAATTTACTATTTATTGTATTGTACATCTCTAATTTAGATGGACCATTAAAACCATTCGAATTTGTTGGGTGTGTGAAAGCACTTAATATTCTGTCAGGCTCTGGAAAACAAAGAGCTTGAGGTGTTCAAAGGGCATTTTAATCTCCTACAATTGACACTTAGTTATTATTTTTTGAGCAATATTTTGCACATATAAAATAGCAAATACAAACTTTATTCCATGGGTTTCTAAATCATTACTGAGATGTGGAAAACCTGTATTTTAGATTTGTTTTGCAATAATATGAGCTGGTAGATTACCCCAAAACTGAAGCCCTGGGTGTTTTCTGAAGAGCAGGATCCATAGGACAGGGTGTTTTGTGTTTATAGTTTTTGTTGGTGCAGGGTTTTCACCTTTGGCCCGTGAACATATCAAGAGCAGAGTGGACTCCCATCTTTAGTTTTGTAGATAGTGGCAGACAGAAATCCAGCAGTCTGGTTTCTTTACATTGCTCTGTTATGAATTTAACTCTATAGGTAGTTTTGTTTCTCTCTGTCATCTCCTGCCCATGGATATTTGTGTTCAGATGCACATTTTTTGAACTTCCATTTCAGAAATGTCTTTGTGCCTGAAACAGCAGTAGTGGTAGCAAGGTAGCAGAATCTTGATCTCAGATGGCACATAATTTCTTTTAATAATGTGAATTTTGCTATCTTTTTCAATAAAATGAATGCCTAGTTACATGATGTTCTGCATGTATCTTTTCTGTAAGAACAGACAGAGCTATCTAAATTTCTTCCCTGTGAGTTCCTCCTCTTCTTGTCAGAAACTTTCTGCATGCAAAGTACTGGAACTCCAAGTGACTCTGAGAGATTCATCCAAAGGAATTGGTAGGGAACTAAGTCCAGTCCCTCAACTGAGTTGCCTAGTGACCAGACCTTGAATTCCAGCAAACCTTCATGCTGAGGGTCTTAGTCTGCATCCCAGATGTGCCTCATGCTGCCTGTTTGAGATAGATCCCTCCCTGAGCCTGCTGCACCTCCTTGGGAGAGAGAACCTCCCTGTGAGGGCTCCTACATGTCACTGCAGCTCCCAGTGTTTGTTGTGCTTAGGGTTTGTGTCGTTTCGTCTGCAGATCTCTTCCCAGATGGCAAACCTGCAGTGGAATCCATGTGGACACTGTACCTATATTTTAAATTCTTTTTTTTTGACTGACTGGAGCACAAACCATTTAGCCATATGAGAAATCTAGAGGTGAAGATAATTGGTGAAAGAGTTTAGTAAATCTAGCTGAGGGAGTTCCTTCTACTGCCTAAGCACAGTGCTATTTACTATTCATATGCTGGTTCCCAGGGAGCAGACACTCCACATCAGTAAATGAAGGAAATAACTGGGAATGAGAAAGATCTTCGTGGCATATGCTTAAAAAAGAAAACAAACATATAACCATTTTCCTCTTCCTCCCAAGAGAAAATGTCAGCATTCTGAAATAATGGTTACATAACCATGAAGTAACATGTATTTTCATAGCAAAACAAGATTTTACTGTGGTAATGCAGTGATCCACCAGCATCTGTGTAGTGACAAAACAGTTCCTGTTTGCATTGTGAGGAACTGTGAAAGCATCCTTGTATTTTCAGCTTGCAAGGAACTTGATATTGATTGCAACAGAATTTACTGGTGCTGCATAAAGCCTCTGAAGGACTGGAGGCTTATACCTGGCTGTGATTAATCTACTCACCTGCCTTTCCTACCTTTAGTAGGGCTCACCACCTGAAACATCAGATAGAGCCATTAACACAATAACTCCTTATTTAAAATGTTTTTGCTTGTCTGAAAAGCTTTGTATTCGTGTCTTCTTTTATTACAAGTCACCCTGGAATACCATGTTATAATGACATTAATTATGCATTTTATTATTGTTATGAGACAGTGAGTTTAAAGTAATAGCATTTGAAAAAATATATTCATTTAGAATATTTAGAATACATACACTTTCTATAAGTCACTTTTCTGTCATTAACTCAGTATGTGAAAATGAGAGAAAACACTTTTAATCAAAATAGAAATATACCTCATCTTTAGAGAAAAAATAGATGAAGCATGTGAAAGAAGAAAATGAAGGGCAAAAGCCTACAACAAAGATCCAGGGATTTAAAACAAAAATATTTGATTTTTTAAGATCAGATGTAAACCAGTTTAGTCGTTCACAATTAGTGCCTGGAGACTAAATTGCAGTTGTTACCATTTCCTTTTTGTCAATCAGGTTCTAGCAGTTTGAACAGAGCTGCCAACACTCTGAATACCTCCAGTATCCACCGAGAGCCCCAGGGAGAGCCTAGTGAAGAATGGAATGCTACAGCAAAGGCTTTTTATGATTCTTCTTTTCCCACAGAACACGTAAGTCAATTAAAAATATTGCAGACCAGACCTCAGTGAGCTAATTCCACAGATATTTGTACAACTGTACCCATCTGGATACTTTAAGGCTGAGTCAAGGCTGAGTCAATCTCCGAAATAATATCAAAAGGGCAACAAGACATCATTTTTCTCAATTAAGGTTGATAGAAAACAGCAGGAAAAAGTCACAGCATATGAATCAAACAGATGCTAGCCAGTCTGTTTGGGAGGGGAAGAAGAGGCTAGTCTATTGTGTACCCTAATAAAAATCATCACCTACAGTAAAAGTAGAAGTTAAATTTTTTTAAAAAAAGGAAAGTAGTAGTATATAAAAGTATAAAAACCTTGTTTCCTCTATGACTTGATGAGACCATGTAATTTAAAAGAATCCATGGAAGACTAAAAAATTCAGCACATCTGTGAATTAGAACCTATCCATTTAACACACAGTGTAGTTATGTGATGCCCTGTTTAAAGTAGTGTTATTTTGCAGGGTAACATTACACAAACATGTAAAAACCTGTTGTTTCCCAATGACTCACCACTGCATTTTCAGATCTGTGTTAAGACTCTGAAGCTTGAACAGCTTAGGAGAATTTGACTCAATGTCGAATGTATCATTCAAAAGTGATACAGTAATTCACAGCTGCAGTTGACCTTTCCTTTTGAGAAGTTCTAGAGGGATTTCTCAGGTAGTTAGGGCTGTCTCTGGATGAGGTGTACAGTGGTTTCAGGGGATAGAGTTGGCTGACTTCAGCAGATAATCAGGTTTTGATGCCATCAGCATCCACATTCCCTGAAATTCACAAGAGTGATGTTTTAAATTACTCAACTTTGCTAGCCTGTCTCTACTTGTGAATGACACCGAGGTGGATTTTTCACCAAACACAGTGGTGGTATTTACTGTGTCTCTCGTGCCTTTTCTCAGAGGTGGAACCAGGAGCTGAGTGAACTCCACTCTGTTACCTGCAACTGAAGCAAAGCTGTGTTTGTTTCATTATCTGGTTGTGGTTATAGCTGCTTTGTCGCCTCCAAACGAAAGCTCCTGCTGTACTAGCTAAGAAAAAGCAGAGATGGACAAGAACAGTGCCTTGCTGGTTTCACCTTAGATTTTCCAAATCCTTAATCTACAAAATCTCAGCCTGCAATAGTGCAGAGCACTCCCTCCCTTCCGTGTTGGTGTCATTCTAATACCTTCTGTTCTTAACTTCTTGTCATTTTAATGACCGAGATAAATAAGATGTTGGGAGATTAAAAATGGTCTCAACAGTCTTTTTTGCTTCCTACTTCATTTGCTTTGACTAACATGTATGATTGCAACTAGAGCAGACTTAAGCATTCTACAATTTGGGTAATCTCATTCAATCACAGTACTCTAAAAAGGGATAAAAATTATTAACAAATGCTACAGATGCACTTGTAATTCTAGTAAAAATGTTAACAACTGTTTTAAACATTAGTCTGTCCATGCTTAAGTACCACAGTAAGGACGAATAAGCACCTCCAGCTCAGTTTAAACATGCAATTTTCAAGTACAGGACAGGTTCAGCCCCACATGCTATTCCATAGAGATTTTGACTAGTGGCTTGCAGTCAAGTATGATCTGTTTGTTGCTAAGACCTTGGGGAAAAACGAGAGAATAGGCTGAAACTTTTACTGCTCAAATGGAGCAGTTACTTCCTCACTGAAAGGGTGATGCCAGTCATTACTGTCCTGAAGTGTCAGTATCTTCAGCTGCATGGCAGCAACAAATGTTGCATTGTTACAAATGCAATAATGAAAGATTTGCATGAATTTTATTGTTCATATTTCAAACTTGAAGAAATGCTTGTATCCTAATGAAGGTAAGCTTTAGCACAAAATTAATGTGCTAAAATAAAGGTAGGCCTGATAAAGACATAATGCCTTAGAGCTGGCTGGGGCACAGTTACCTAATATTAAAAAACTTATTGAGCAGAGGGGGAAGGTCTCCTGTTGTGATCCATGCAAGAGGAGTCCCCTAGCACAGGAGCAGAGCCTGAGAGGTCACCTTGCAGCTCCCCTGCAGCATTGGCTCTGTGCTGCGCCCTGCTCAGGCTGGTGCTGTGTGCTGCTCCCCCAAGAGTCACACAATCCCAGATTACAGGTGGAGAACTCATCATTCAAATGCAATGTTTTTGCTCATCAGGCAAAAAACCTGTTTCCCTACTGTGTTGCCATCTGTCTTTGATTTGGCCAGATATGAAGTAGCTAACAGTAATATATCAAAGAGTAATTGAAACTATTATAAGAACAAAAAGATCTTTAACATAAAAAAGCCAACCTATTACAGACTGTGCACTACTGATGTTTGCTTTCTAATCTATACAGTGGAGATGGAGTTAACACTATAAACCTCATTATTTTGGGTTTTGTTAATCAAATGCTTCCATAGCAATAGAAATGTCAATTGCAATATTAAACTCTTTAATTAAGCTATTTATTTTGCTAATCTGCTTTCTAATACAACCTTAGCTTTTTAAAATCACACTCTTGTACCAAGTCTTTAGTTAAGGTTGGTTTATAAAAGTGTAATTGTCATTATCAAATTTTCTAAGTTAAATACGATGCAAATGCTTCAAATTAAATGTGTTTTCTCCAATTGTTTTATTTACTTCCTCGCTTGCTTAATGTTCAGCAGAATCCAACAATCTGAACCTTTGTATGTGAATTATCAACTGCTAAGATTTGTATTCTGTCAGGTTAAAGAAGGATTTGCTGCTTTACAGAACAAGCAGAAATCTTCTCACATGACAGTCAGTCCAGCAAGAAGTGACAAAGCACTCAAAGGTGAGGACAGCTGCTCTCTTCGGAACTCCGTTATACAAAACCAAATAGGAGGAATTGAGAAATTACTGAATTTGGAGAGACTTCATTCAGCAAAAAAGAGAAAATACGAAGAAGGCCAGTGAAGACAAGCACCAGGAGATAAGCATTCTTTAGGCATAGACAGATCACTTACCTAACCCAGATTTGTATAGGTATTCCCACAAAATACGGTTTGTTTGTGTACTTTCATGTTTAATATAACATGTTAACAGTTCTTCTGTTCCAAAATGTATGCAATTCCTACCCCTAATGTTAGCTCTGCTTCTCCAATCAAATTCAAGTTATTATTTGCTTTGCCCAAAGTTTAAAAGTTCTTAAGTTAATGTTTTTATATATGTTTAGTAAAATTGAATAATTACTTAACAGTATCCTTCTCCTGCTCCTCAGAAGTTTTGGCTGAAATAGTTCAATTCATTTTCTCTGACAGACTGGTCACTCAGTTTTCAGGCAAAATCACCTCTAAACTCTTTCAGAATACAATGGGTTCTGCAAATATTTACAACTACTTCCAGCAGTTCTAAGCAGCAGAAGAACAGAAAAAACTTCTGTTCACCTTTACCGCCAAATTATTTAAATCTATCTGTTGTAGTTTCTGTTTCAGTGAGGTCTTTCAATAGTGAAGGATCAGGCATAATTACAGCGATAAGGCAGCAGATCTGGCTTTATGAAGCTTCACTTCTATTGGGTCACATTTCTTCCCCCTTGGGTCTAAGGGAATTTTTCTCTTACTTAAAAATACTTGCACTATTTTTTTTTCTGACCTCCCTCCCTTTCTCCCCACACCTCTTGCAAAGAAAGACCTCCATACTGTAAAATGAACAAAAAGAAACATAACCAATATCATCAGTTTCCTGTTGCTGATTATGTAAGAAAATCAACAGAAGACCTTTTCCCATGTTAGTTTTATTGCCTCTTTTTTTTTTTTTGGTGTTTCAATTTAAAATATTTAGCTTCTTTAAGTCAATTGCATACTTTTTTTTGGAAACAGTCACAAATTATCAAAGTATTGAATAAAGTTCATCTATAGCAATATTACCAGGTCAAAAAAAAAATCTTATGTGTCTGAGAGACTGAGGAGACTGTTTTTCACTTGATTCAAATTTTGTTTCCAGGTGTTTAGAGTGTCATACAATTGCTGCCACTGCTGCTTTCCAAAAGTCCGATGTGTGCTGTGACTGGAGAAGTAAAACAAAATTGGGAGAAGGTTACTAGAGATGTCACACTCACCTAATCATTCTTCTATAGCATTACTTTATTCTCATAAGTAAATAGGAAAATTCCATTTTTCTCTCTAGAAAGTGCTGCACTTCACCAGTTAAGAGAATTCTGTAGCCTTCCCAAATATTTAAAGCAACAACAGTCATTAGTATTCTTGTCACTAGTAGGTCATTAAATGAAATGTCCTGGAAAGTAGGACTCTTTCATTAAATAAGCTAATCACATTCAGTGTGAGCTTTAATAAAATTATGATAAATAGCAACTATTTAACTACCAGCAACTGATATGAACAATACCTTGCTTCTAGTTAGAATAGTCTACAAATGTAAGTGAAATAATTAGAACACATGAAGTTCTGCAAAATGCCATGAAGAAGTCTTACCTGACAATGACTTTCCTTTGTGTCTGATCTATTTTGCAGTACACCATCTTTGTTTTTACAGCTGCAAAAAAACAATGCTGTTTTGAGCAACATTTTTATGATAGTGCACAGGCATTAAACTGTACAAAAATGGTTCAAAATGAGATAAACAAACATAAGAACTCAGCAGTTCTCTTAACCTGTTTTGCTGTTGGTTTTAATGGCCTAGTAGGCAGAAAAGCAAAATACTGTAACAAGATGAAGGTCATGCATGGATCCTATTGTTTGGTGCCAATCTATTAAAGCAATATCCTGTACAGATTTTATGAACTTCTCTCCCCTACAAACACTTCCTGTTTTAATGACAGCAAACAAAACCAGATGACAAATTAAACCTGCAAACAATTTATTAGTCCTGTAAAGAATTACATGAGACACAGTTTCTGTTACTGAGACTGGCTGAAACACAACAGTTGGGCCTGTCTTTAAACATGAAGTTGTGCAGCTTTAACTTGTAAAAAGCACAGGAATCGAAATTAATATTGTTCTTAAAATTTAACATTAGATTAGAAGACTAAAAAGGTCTTGTTCATGAGCACTGTGTGCAGAACCACAGTTCTTACCATCAATGACAAATGCTTCCACATCATCAGCCCCTATCTGGAGTTCCTGCTGCATTGTGTCAAATGAGATTTCTTTATTCTCTACAGCCATTCCCATGAAAGTAAGGAGCCTCATCTTGGCCATATTGTGTTCATGCAACAAGCCTGAGGAAAAGTGTTGATAGTTTAATTAATTATTTAATTGTAATTCATACAGATCATTTGCTTTTAGTGTTACATTTTAAATTATTGAAAGCATATATAGTAAAAATATTTCACTTTGAAATATCTTCTACTTTACTTTATCAACTTTTTTTTTTGAGGCAAAATAACAAATCCTGCATCTGCCTCATCTTTTGCTAAAATAGCAAGTTTTATTGTGAGTTCATCAAGATCTGTTGTTTTTAGCAAAAATGTATTATCTACAAAAGTTTTGGGTTTTGAGCAGTAAAGACATCACCTAAACAAAATCTGAAGTGGTAAAAGTGCAAGTGAATTTTTCAGTTGCATCACCTGGAAGAACAGCATTGCAACAGATTGGAGAATCCATGGCTGGTTATGCCAAGAATCTTATTAGCACCTCACCACTCATTCTCCTGTGGTTTCTGGAAAATAAACCTCTCACAGTGATGGTTCCCTAACATTATGGTGCCAGAAAAAAGCATTTTGCTACTGAATCTGTTTGTCCACAGCAAAAAAGGCATAATGAGGCTCATGTAAGCATCCAGTGTGGCTCAGAAAAGTGCTGTTCAAAACCAGCGGAATGGATGCTGAGGTCAGATTACATCTTTTACATGACTGCATAAATGCCAACACAGGGAACTGAGCCAAGGCCTTGCATGTCTAAATCAGAAACCATTTTCCTGGAAAAACACCTAGGCCAACCAAGCTAAGTCACTGAGATGAAACAAGGCATTTCTTAATCCAAAGTCCATGAGGTACCAATTAAGATGAGATTGAAGTTTCTTAAAAATGAGCTTCCCTCTTTTTGCTCTAGAATGACATTATAAACATTCCCATAGCTTCAGTAAATATGTAACTTTGGAATTTATAACACCCATACACTAGCAGGGAAGCACATTAGTGCAGGACATCATGTTGTGTTAATTAGCTGTAATTATGATGCAGGTTCCCTATTTGGCACCGATTCAACAAAAACGAGATCACCATAATTCATACGAATGAGGAGCACCAGCAACTATACCTAACTGGGTTTAATGGAACTCTACAAGCATCAAAAAATCAATTAGCACACATTAACCCTAATTAACAAATGCAAATGAGATTCTGATTAACTTTGCAAAGAAGACGGCTGATAATACCAGATTAACTATGGCCATGTTAGGGCGATGCAGTTGACACAGATAATGCTACTGCTGGCCTAAGTTGTCAGCATTAATAAAACAACAAATTGTAACAAACTGATGCTGCCTGTAGGAGCCTGCACTGCTCAGCTTTCCTGGGCCAGCTCTAACTGGTCCTGGTCCAGGAATAGTTACAACTACAGCCCATGCTCTACTGCCACTGGAATCTTATTCTAAACAGCTTTTAAAACAAAGGTATTTTGGCAAGTTATTAAAAAAAAATCTCTAAAGCATGATTAAAAATCTCATTTTTGGAACAGATAATTTTTGAATGCCTCATCTAATAACTGCATTGTTGTCTAGAGCAAATTATCCTTGTTTCTCAAAGCCATGGCTGAGCCACTCAGTTCCCAGAATTTCCATCTGTGCTCCCTCCAAATCTCTGCTTGTCCATTGCTCAAAGACACAGAGAGTTTCTGAGAACACCACAGAGAAATCAGCTTAAGTGGAAGGTAAGACTGTCTTTCTAAACAGTTGCACAGGTATGTAAGGATTTTACTAAGATAATATGAATCTTAGATATATTGAAACTTCACACACTGAATTAATTAATGGAGGGAAGCAGAAACACTGGGAGGCAAGGCAAAATTAATTAATGCTACAGAGATGTGTAACTGAGCTTCCATAAATATAATAAAACGTTGCTGGTAACAACAACTTCAGCAAATACTTCTGTCAATGAGAACCTAAAAGATAAGCCCCAAACCCACTTTCCTCTGAGAAAGAAAAGCGTAAGATGTCTGTATAACTGATGCTCATATACATGTGACTAAAGATACACTTACCCTATACACACATTTACAAGCTACCAAAAACTTGCTGCTGATTTTTTCCACCAAAAAATCCCATTGGTATTTCCATCATTTTAATACCCAAAGTACCACCATTTTAAAGCTCTGAGGGCAATTACTCTAAGAATTGTATCACACTCCATTAAACAAAATAATGCATGTGTTAAAAAGCTGCACTAAATTCTGTTTTAGCAAAACTGTGGCTTTCCTCAAATGCATCCAAGGCACTATTTAACTGTCATTTGAAAATCAAAGTTATTAAAAAAAATGTTGTATTTTTATGGAAACATTTATTCATTACCAATATGTCAAAACCTTAATGCAGTCATAAAAAAATCTGCATCATTGAGCAATTTCTGCATTGTCACTGACCCCTGTCCTAAAAAGCTGGAATATAAAAAACGTAATTTTAATGCATGCAATAGCTTATGAACCAGTGCTCCTTTGAAACAGTCAATTACACATCAACGGGGGAGTGTCAAAGTGTTAATTACTACTCCTTTTTTCCACAGTGTGTAAATAAAGAGGGTGCTGACATTAACATTCCATCACATTGCTTCATGTGATGAAACAAATTAACTGGGACAGACTGTGGCTTGCTGGGTCTAATGCATCAGCCCAGACAGACACACACACACAATTTGCATGCTTTATCTTGCTGCTCGGTATTTGCTGCTACAAAGTTATTAATCATTAAAAAAAATTGGAGATTTATACAAGCTGGTGATTTTCTCAATGCAGTTTTGATCTCTGGCCTAGCCTGGAGTATGAATGTGGTAAAGCTTTCAGGGGGAGAGTTCTAAGAGAAAAAAACAGTGGGTAAAACTGCAGCTCTTTTCCAAAGCCATAAACCAGCTTGTTTTCAAAGAACAAACCACAGTTAATGGCCCATTCACAATCTACAAGAGGTTATCATCAGCAAACTCTACTCTGTTTTCAAATTTGCTTGCTTCAATACATGGATTCAAACTGAATTACTCTAAAAATTCCATACCTTAAACCATGTCAATAGTCAGGAATGCAATGATCTGAAAACTTACCCAGGGAGTCAATGAAGTCTTTGTTGTTCTGATAAAACTTGACATAGGACGCTAGTTTAGCACTTACAAAAATTGTCAAAAGCTAGAAGATGGAAAACAAACATGAGAACAGTTTAAATATTATCTTGGTTTCCCTCTTTGCAGGCTGGACAGATGTGGATAGAAACTATGGGTGTTGAACAGAAAAATAGGTGTTAAGAGCTGAAATTCTGTCTTCTGTTAATAGATGCGGGCAGTCTGTGCTGAGCTTACTTCCTTTCCCCAGACTTAAGATTTGCTACAGAACTCAAGTGAGGGCAGGACTTGTAACTGAGTTTCTGAAACTTTCAAAGGGAAATGTTTCACATCTAATTTTAATTTTAAAGACTGTAAAAAAGAATGTAGCAGCTCAGGATTACTGACACAGATAACCATTCTAATGGATTTCAAAAGACACATTAAAACAAAGCAGTCTACTGTCATTAAACCATCTTAAAAACAAAGTTACTTACATCATGAATAAGTTCTCCTTCCAAAAATTTAACTGGTTTTAAGGCAAGAAGATGATCAAAAAGAAAGGTATTTGGATCCTTCAATGCTCGTACAATACATCTGATGAGAAAAGGAAAATGCTCACTTTCAAAGCAATACACATCTTTATGACTAAGAGCAACTAAATTTGTTGTTTCTTGCTTTCTACGAAACACTCAAGGGTTTTTAATTATTATTAGACGTAACATATGTCACATTCCAATTTTAAACTTAATTTTACAGATGGAAAAACCAAGGAATAGGAAGCATGAAATAATCTGTCCAGTATTCCAAATGAAATGTGCCAGGTGGTCAAACCACAGATCACTCTACAGTTTCCATCTATGCATTTACTTCCAGCACAGCCTTTGTTCCTCGAGGTATTTTTACTGTGCTCCTAAAATTTCATCAAATTAAGTTGTTTTGGAAGATTTAATTAGACTTGAGTATGTGACACAAAACAGAGAAAACCCCGACACCAAACAAGGGGTTTGGTGCAAGGCCCAGGATTTCTCAGTTGCAGCTCCAGACTAAAAACAGAAGTGAAGATGAAAGCTTTTCTCAGCAGCACATCAGAGCCTTGGCTCACTCTGCCACACCAGGACACCAGGAGAACCCGAGCTCTGCACAGACACAGCCCTGCACAGGAGTTCTCTCAGAGGGAACAGGCTGCAGCTTGCTGTACTGGCTCCCACTTATGCACAGACACTAATTTTCCAAAGGAGTCATCCTGATCTTCCTCCATGGTTAAGTATAAACAACTCCCTTGAGAACAACTGGTAGTGTACATCTGGCAGGACTTAAAGAACTGATTCCTAAGTTAGAACTCATTTTGGCCAGTGGGGAAAATGCACTGTTATGAATCAATTTAGTCCCAGCTTGTTCAACAGGTAAGCTTATTTCTGTGCAGTTCACATCCTTTGTACTTACTCATAGGGAAGACAGCAACAATGTTTTTTCAAGAGAAAGTGTTATTTGAAAAGAATGCTCATGGTCAGATAATAAAACGGGCAAAAAGTAAAACAAGCTGAAATAAAGGATTCCAGTACAGGAATAAAGGATTTTGAGTGCACAGCTGATGTAAAGGAGTCCTTACCCAAGACTGATCTCCCTCAGCAGTGAGCAGGAACACTCCTGTGCACTTGCACACTGGAATAAACCTGGCTGTACCTACAACCAGACCTACAGCAGACTGCAGAGACAAACTCTTGACTGAGTCAGCAATGTTACAGAAGAGGCCAGGCAGGGCCCTTGGCCTGCCAGGCCACTCAATACTCTTATAACAGTAAGGGGATCAAAATAATTTGGAATTGAGGAAAAGTTACTTTTAAGGAAACTGGGACGTCTTACCTGTGAGCATCAACTCTAGCCTGGGAAGCATTGTCCTCTGTGTAACTTCCCAATAGCTCCACCATTACTTTTGCTGCAGTGTCACTATAGAAAAAAAATAAAGTTACCTCAGGATTGCTGAAAAACTTGTTCAAACAAGACACTCAAATATTTAACAATTCCATTATGATGTTATAGGTCAAATCAAATCACACTCGAAAAAGATGTAGATGATCCATTTTAATTCTAGTGGAGAGAACAAATCAGCTGGATGTATTCTTTCAATTCTTGTTCTACAAAATGTTTATCTTCACCCTTCATTTCATTCTCTTAAACTGATTAATTACCTGCTGGTTATGGAAAAAGCTTTCTGAGCTGGGAACAGCTTTATATGGTTCACTAGAATGCTCCTCTTGTGCACATCTGGATTTAATCATTGTGCAGTAAGTAGCACTGCAAAGTTTATTTCAAATGTAAAATGGCATCTCTTAAAGAATATTTATGGTCAGGAAAATGACTGTATAAAAGCTGCTCTCTTCTTTCACAGATTCTCTCTTCAAATATTCTGAGTGAGAGCTGCTCATTCTATTGATGAAATCAGGCAGCCAGCAATGAGACTGGCTGAGGCTGCTGTGAAGCTTCCAGCACTGCTCTGACAAGACAGCTTTTAGACAAACAACTCCTTCTCAGAAAGCTGAGCAAACCTACAGCCTTGTCCACCCAGATGATCTTGTAAACAACACCAATACTATTGCAATGCAGCTCTAAGAGTGTTACTGTGTCATTTTAATAGATTTTGATTTATTTTCACTTCACAGTTTTACCACCAACAAGGCCAGCAACCCTTGATGCTTGTTGCAAAATTTATAACAAATTATCCCACGTGGTCTAAAAGCACACACAATTTTCCCTAAAACACTGGGAGAATAAAGTTTCAATTTGCCTTAGTGACTTAGGCCAATGGCATAAACTGCACAGGGAGGAACAAACCAACACCACATGCCCAGTATGCTCTGTGCTGTGACAGAGCTTTAATCCATACAGCACCACAGGGCTGAACGGTTTTTGCAGTACAATAACAGTGTCTTTAAATGGGTATTTATTTGAAATCTCACCACATCACTGCTTGACAGCCACTCTATATGGTGAAGTTTGTTCTCAGAGGATTTACCAGATCTGAGAGATGTGCAGCACAAATATTAAGACATCATGGGCAACACCCAGTATTGTATATAATCTGGATATACATTTGTCCCCAGGCAGGGGCATTTTCTATAGATCCCAGAATTCCAGAACCATGTTCAGAAATATAAGCTTTAATGAAACATTTGTTTTAAAACTCCAGCATTAAAGAGGTCAGCTTATGTTTTGTCCTGGTAACCAATACTGATGTAGATGAACTGACAGTTCTGTATCAGTGAAAAAAAATTAACTTAGGCAGCTTTATAAATAAGAGAATTATCTGCAGGTAAATCAGTCTGTGACTGACTATGATTTTAGCACTGGTGAAATCTTACCAAAATTAATGTTTTAGGAGACAAAGGACCAGTTTAATCCAGGAATGGCAACATACAGGTATCAAAGAGGGTCAGGTCATGTGCTGTTCAACCTAATACACAACTCCTTATTTAATGAAAGCTTTTCAGCAGTTGTTTTTGTGCACTTCAGAGCTGTATTACATATTTCTGGCACTTTTGCTCTCCTAATCTTTCAATTAGCAGCAAAAATTGAAAACTATCACTTAACAAATTTCCAGCAGTACTTTCAATTCCTGCCCTTTTTTTTTTTTTATTCCCTGCCTTTTTTAAAGTGGGGAAGGAGTGGAACTTTTCACTTGTGTTTCTAGGAAACAACAAGACAATTACTCCCAAACTTTGTGTGCTAAATTCTTGTGAACCTCAGCAAATATGGCAGCCTTTATATTCTATGGCAGTCTTATATTCTACTCAGTGTCAGATTACTGCTGTAAATTAGGCTGTTTCAAGCACACATACAGATTACTATTTTACAACAGCTTGTTGTTAAATGTGTCTCACCTAAGGTGCAAATGTGAACATTTTTTTCTATCAAAACAGCCTGAACAAGTGCTCTTGGCTCCACTTGCCAGTCTAGATGCATAACTTGACAAAAAGCCAGTGAGAGCTGAAATTGAGTCCCTCTACATTACATGATATTAAACTGAACTAAAATGAAATGAAATGAAACAATTACTCTGCAGGTGCCTGACATGCTGAGCTTTTTGCTACAAGGATTAATAGCCAGACTTGCCAGACCTGTTTGAATTTAACCTGGGCAGGGCCAAAGCTGCTGAATCTTGCCAGCAGAGACCAGCTTTAAACTGCATCAAGGTAGCTGGAAAAGGCTTGATAAAACAAACTTCACTTGTCACCACAGGAAAAGAGACATCACACAACCTCTGTACATCTACTTTTTAGGAGCTACCAATCTATTAACTACCAGTACTGGAGATCCACTGGGAGAAAGTCTATTAGCTACAGAAAACCATCTCTTCTGCCACACTGACCAAAGTTAAAACAGAAATCAAGCAAACAAAAGAATTCAATTGTCTTTAACAATCTAGTTCTTTTCCTTTGATTATAAGTCAACAACAGTAACTGAGGTATGATTTTTATCCCGTGCTTTTCAGTTCCCACTTATCTTCCCATACTGCTACATAGAGCAACATTCCTGAGTGCTACAGCTGGAATGCTGCTGTGAGTTTCCCATACTATTGCAAACACTGCCCACTGATCCAGGAGAGTGAACCAGGTCAAAGGTGCCAGGGTCACTTCTTGTTTTCTTTTCTGGAGAGAAGTGCAAGTGCTCTGAAACACTGCTCTGCTCAGTGAAGAGCTTGGGCTCCAACAAGTGCAGGAGTCATCTCTTACAGGTTTGTAGAAGGTTTTATTTGCTATCTTAAAAAATCATCTGTGGTTAGTGAGCAAAAAACATTTAGTAGCAAAGTTACTGGTAGCCCTAGTGCAAACAAAACCTAGAAGTTTAATCCACTGATTTGACAGCAAGACTAGCTAAAAATAGCTGGATATAAGGTTTGGGAATTAAACTAGTTAAAGCCTCACAATAAATCAACAGGATGGGAAGTGAGGAAGAGCAGGAATGTTATCAGTGGAATATTTCTGAAACAAGGTAAGCACCAAGCCATGGAAAATATCTGTGGAAAAGCCATGGAAAAGACTAACATTTCTGAATTTATTTTGAACATCTGAAATCTCCTATACAGAACTATTGATGCAAAAGCATTTGAATGTTACAAACAGGAGTTCCCAGTAATGTAGCTCTCAGAGTAACTACTGTGAGGATTAATCATCCCTAAATTGAGGTTATGATCCTGCTAGCTGATGCAGCATTTCCAGGCTACAATTCCAGCAGGGCAGAATAAGCCATGTGTCCTGACAGAAGGAACTTTTCTGCACCTGTGACAGCTTCACACTTGCCTTTTTAAACCCCCAGCAAGGTCATGTCCCCAGGCCAAGCCCCTGTGCAGTCACACAAATGCCCACACTAGCACAAACACACACAGGTACTGGCAGCTGGAGGAACAGGAACAGAGGGTACAGGACAGAACTTCTTTTTGCAGGTTATGCAAATGCTGAAAATGCAAGTGCAGTCCTGGTACCACCCTGGGTCAGCAGTGGAGGGGGCTTGATGCTGCCTCACTATGAAAATCAAAGAAGCCTTGAAAAAGTAACTCAGAAAACAGAGTGGAACATCCCCATCCCAAACTGCAGGGACAGGTTAAGTAGGTTTGAGCTGTTGTGGAACTACACACTGAACCACTGGACAGCAGCCCATCACTGCAGCCCTGGCCAGGGCAGTCAATCCACCGTATCATTTCTGTAAGATAAACTGATGACAGCTCTCAGTTCTGACCTGCATTAGTTTACAGGCACCATGCACACTGGATTACTCTACATGCCAGAAGACAGTGGTCTGCCAAGTTTGTTAGATCAAAGATGCTTCTTATGATCCAGGATAATAATTCAAAATGGCCAAGCAGGTATTCTGTGGACATTAATTTCCATGACGAGTGGAAAGCTCTGTCCTGAAGGTAATGTTTACATAAAAAAGACTGATTCTGTTAGCCATGATTGATAAAGTCTTCCCACATCATTAAGTAAGAGATAGCACTACCATGCACTAAAATGTCAAAAGTGCAATTAAATAATAAACTTGGCATAATGCTACAATGCTACAATGCACTAAGATGATTATTTATAGAAAGGAATAGTGTTGTTTTGGGAGTCTGTGGTTTGCAGCTAATTCACTACTAACTTTAATATTATTGGGAACACTGGTTTAATACAAGAGTGCTTAAAAATATTTAAAAAAAACCCAAAAGTGTATTTGGATTGAATAATGGGTACAGATTAATTTTACAAGTCCTTTGAGAAATACTTTCCCTACAGGTCACCTACAGTACATCAAAATACATAGTTATCTAGTATGTATGACTTTGTACCTTTTCTTGCAGTCTACTAGGACATCATATAGCAGTCTCAGGAGAGTGTGCTTTTTCTCTGTAGCCAGATTCCAGTCAGAAATCCATTTTCGGACCTAGGTACAATACGAGTGAAAAAGAAACATTCAGGAAAAGATTAAAATAGCACTACAAATACTTCTTATTTTCTCCCAAGCAGAAAAGAATTCAAAATATCTTGCACAGAGATTTCTCTTTTAGGTCTTCTGATTCTTATGCTCCCATTCCCCTTGTCCTATCACTATTTGCCAACATCAAAAGTCGCTCTCCCTCTTTAATGAGCCCCCTTTAAAGTACTGCAATAAGGGCATCCTAGAGCCTTCTCTTCTCCAGGCTGAACAATCCCAAAGCTCTCAGCCTTCCCTCACAGGAGAGGTATTGCTTATCTCTAATCATCTTGATGTCAATTTCTTTAGGCTCTGGCAATTTATAAAAGATGGACTGTATCAGCACTGAGTAATATTTAGGTGCAACATGGTTCATACAAAGGCCACAACTTGAAGGGTCAATTAATTACCTGATCTAGTTCAGTTGGAATGTACTGGATGGCACCACAGGACGAGGCCACTTTGAGAAGGCTGCAGTACACTGTGTACCTCACAGGAGTGTTCTTGTCCATGCCATGGAAGAGATTGCTCAGGCTAAACCGCAAACAACCAACAATGGAGTTACAGAGCTTTCAAAAAACATTACTGCAGTGCACGTCAATGTTCTTTTAAGACACACGCTGGTAAAAAGCATCTGGCAGCACCTTACATCCATGAATTGTAAGTTTCCAGTTTTGTAATCATTTTTAGCAAAGCTGAAAACTATACATATTAATTTTATTCTGCAATAACCAAGGAAAAAAATAGAAGTACCAATATTTTATGACAGTGAAAGAAAAGGTAAAAGAAGAGTGCTTCCTGCAACAGCCCACACTCTGATCTGAAGACATACAAGATAATCCTTCCTCTTCAGAGGCACAATTACCTTGCCAAGTCACCACTGTCTCCCTTAGCCCTGTACAATACTTACAGCTGCAGTCTAAGAGATGGGCGCTCTCCTTCTCGAAACTTTACTAACTTCTCACATAGATTTTCAATCAGTGCTTCTTGTTTGTCAGGTTCCAGGATAAGAAGCAGAGAGACAACGCTGTTCATCACACTCTCCACATCTGCATAAACCAAAACATACAGCTGTTTGAAACTGCGAGCAGCAATCAGCAGCTACCTTGTGCTGGATATACTTTTGATAATAGTAATCCATATTTTTGACATGAATTACCATTTGGCATGAGTAAGAATTGTAAAAGAAAGAAAATGCCAAGATACGAAGCTGGATATTATTCAGAATGTACCATAACCTGGCTCAGGTGGGCTTACACCATGTAAGACAAGAACGACCATTCTAAGGTCAACACAGAACATGGTATCTGATATCACACTTACTCTGAATTCTCTGTTTACACACAGGAGAAACCAGAGGAACTCTAGATTCCACACAGTGGCTTCCTCCTGCACATCCAGGAAACTGCCCATGGTTCTACAGTGAGAACAGTAACACCTAGTGCTCAAGCACAGTAAAACATTTCACCAGGACCATGAGGGACACCCAGACCAAGGGAAAATGTCCTCAAGAACAACGAAGTGTATTACAAACCCTCCCCAGCTCCTGTTTTAAGTGTGGTGTTCTATCCTTTCCAAACAGAACCACACCAGTTTTGTGTTTTCTTTTCAATCTGCCCAATTATCAGTCAAGCAAAGAAAAAGAACAAAATTCATTACATATGGAAAACATTACCTAGTCTCCAAAATGACACCTGAGCATCAAAAACTCTATTTTACATACAAGTCTCTACACCCTCATTACAAGCAGAGTCTAGCTCAGCTTCTGACTTCTTCAAAGAGTGCTAGATGTTTGGAGAAAGGAGGGGCAGAGTACACATGCAAATATTCCACGGCAGTGATGGAAATGTACCCTTCCAGTTTTATTAGGATACACAGCTTGTGTTTTAACGCTACACATCTCTAAATTCTGCCAGCTGTTACTGTTTGAAACCATAGACAGCGATAAATAGCAAAACCAACAAGACTTAGAGATGCAAACCTTTGTCATCCTCTTTCAGGCACACATCACACACTTCAATAATCTGTGCCAAGTCCACATGAAGTCCGCCTTCAGCGTTTTCTTCAGAGATTTCTGCTCCTTTGGATTTCAGGTAAGCTCGCAGTTCTGCAGCCTTAAAAAAGAGAGAGACAGCACACACTAAACAAAACAGTTGTTTTGTGAATAACAAAGTCAAAGCAATTAAATTTCCTACAGGTATTTGTTCTGCCAGAAGCTCAACCTGCTGTTCTGCCAGTGACTGAACAGGTCACAGAGCTGTTGGGCTTCCTCACAGCATCAATGTGTCGCTCACAAATGTGTTCTGCACAGCAGGCCTAACAAGTTTTTGTGACAAAGACACTTTCTTATAAAGTTTTACTCCCTCCGCAAATGTCAGACAAACATTAAAACCATTTAGTTGCTTCTTCACCAGAAAAAAAAAAAAAGGTATAAACAAAGCCACTTTAGAGAGAGCAGAACTTTGCCTTCACAATTTCACAACAGCTTCTATAGAATGGCTTGGGTTGGAAGGAACCTTAAAGATCTTGTTCCACACCTCTGCCATGGGCAAGGAACGTTCCACTAAACCAGGGTGCTCAAAGCCCTGTTCAACCCAGCCTTATAATGTCATGAGCTGCCTTACTCTGCTAGGAATTAAACTTACACCAAGAAAATACCTATAGGCAACAGGCCTATTCATTATAATTCAGCAGCATTCATATATCATTCACCAGCAGAACCATAACCCTTCAGAAACAATCTGAGGCCATACAACTTTTGGTACAGAGCACTTCTGGCCAGGAGGCTGCTGTGACATTTACATCTCGTTCAGTGTCAAGTCATTTTGGAACCAGAAAAAAAAGCCCTGGGACAAACTGCTGAACTGAGGATGTTTCACACCAGCTACTTGGGGCTGTACTAGGCACTATAGCAAGTGAAAACTGGACTGGTGGCTGGTAGCCGTGTGTGAATTTCTTGCAAATTTCCAATGTGTACACGCACATATTGTGTATACGTAAACACGGATGTGTATATGCATACTTCAACTACACTGGGAACAAGTAGCCGCCAAAGCCAAAGGCACAACAAAGCAGCAGCTCACAGACAGAATTCCTACTTCCCGTGCCAGCAGTACCGAGAATTCCAGAAAACCCAAGTAATGCACATATGTGAACCCGCTAACTAAAAAGCAGGGCTGAGGAGCGATGAAAACGAAGTGCCGGAGAGGCGGAACACTGAAGAGGGAACTGCAAACACCGGCTTATCTTTCAGCCATTATGTTCAAGTTTCTCTAATCGCCTGCTCGGTCTCTGTAGGGAACAGCCCGGAGGAGTTCGCGGAGCGCTCGCGGCGCGCACAGCCGCGCAGGTCCGGCCCGGGCTGCCGCCCCCGGCACGGCCCGGCCCAGCCCTCCAGCCGGGGGCCGATCGCTCCCCGGGGACGCTGACCTGATCCTCCTCGGTGATGTCGATGAAGGCCGGGACGCTCATGGCTCCGAGCACGCCGCGCTCCGGAAAGGCGGAACGGCTTCCGCCGCCGCGCCAGGCCGCGCCGCTTCCGCTTCCCGCGCCGAGCGGGCGGGCCCGCGCTCCGACCGCCCTGCGCCCGCCTCGGCTCTGCCCGGACCGCTCCGCCCTGCCCGGCTCCGCCCTGCCCGGACCGCTCCGCCCTGCCCAGCCCGGACCGCTCCGCCCTGCCCGGACCGCTCCGCCCTGCCCGGCTCCGCCCTGCCCGGACCGCTCCGCCCTGCCCAGCCCGGACCGCTCCGCCCTGCCCGGACCGCTCCGCCCTGCCCGGCTCCGCCCTGCCCAGACCGCTCCGCCCTGCCCGGACCGCTCTGCCCTGCCCGGCTCCGCCCTGCCCAGCGCGGTGCTGCCCGGCTCAGTCCTCCGCGGCGCGGCTCTGCCCGGCACGGCCCTGCCCACCGCCGGGCGCGGCCGCGGGCGCGGCACCGATACCCGTCCGCACCCACACCCACACACACACACACACACACACACACACACCCCCACACACCCACACACAGCCACACACACACCCACACACAGCCCCACACACACACACACACAGCCTCACCCACACACACACACCCACACACACCCACACCCACACACCCACCCGCACACACCTCCCCACACACACACCCCCACACAACCACCCAGACACCCACCCACACACCCACACCCCCCCCCACACACCCCTCACACACACACCCACACACCCACACACACCCTCACACACCTCCCCACACACACACCCCCACACAACCACCCAGACACCCACCCACACACCCACACCCCCCCCACACACACCCCTCACACACACACCCACACACCCACACACACACCCTCACACACCTCCCCACACACACACCCCCACACAACCACCCAGACACCCACCCACACACCCACACCCCCCCACACACACCCCTCACACACACACCCACACACCCACACACACACCCTCACACACCTCCCCACACACACACCCCCACACAACCACCCAGACACCCACCCACACACCCACACCCCCCACACACACACCCCTCACACACACACCCACACACCCACACACACCCACACACACACACACCCACCCTCACACACCTCCCCACACACACACCCCCACACAACCACCCAGACACCCACCCACACACCCACACCCCCCCCCACACACACCCCCTCACACACACACCCACACCCCCACACACACACCCACACACCCACCATCACACACCTCCCCACACACACACCCCCACACAACCACCCAGACACCCACCCACACACCCACACCGCCCCCCACACACACCCCTCACACACACACCCACACACCCACACACACACCCACACACCCACACCCACACACACACCCTCACACACCTCCCCACACACACACCCCCACACACACACCCAGACACCCACACACACACCCACACCCCCCCACACACACACCCCCTCACACACCCCCTCACACACCCACACCCCCTTCCTTTCTCCGCACTTAAAAGCCGGAGCGCTCCTTGCCTAGTGCTTTTTCCCGGAGCAGGTTAGATGGCAGCCTTGGTGCGGGTGTATCGGGGGTGGAACGCGGTGGCAGTAAGGACAGCAGTCCCCCTGAGGGAATGGCACCATTCCCTTAGTTGGATTGAGCAGCTGCGCTCCCGGCCCGCTGAGAATGGAGCAGCCCTCGCTCGGTGTCACCGGCGTGTTCCACGCGTCCTCTGCTCCTGAAGTTTCCCGTTCGGCTCTGGCAGACCGCCAGGAATGCAGGGTGACTTTCCCTGTGCTCAAAACCTAAAATGAAAGCCAAGAAAATTATAAAGTAGGTAAAGCTGAAAAGACCTCTGAAATTACCAAGTGCAACCAGTAACACAGTTAGTAAAGACTGCTGCACACAAACCTTATTTTATAAACCTGACCAAATCATAACTAAATTAAATTATTGAGTCTAATAGCTAGAACAGGATTTTGAACACTGGGTTCTGAGTTTTACAGCACTGAGCACAATGAAACTGATAAAGGCCTACACTTTATTAAGTGCTTTTATTAAATGTCATGACTCTGCTTAGTTTTAATCATCTACATGCTTGCATAACTTCTAAATAATGCTTCAACTTTTAATTTTTCCATCATATGAATCCTGCCTAATTTGTTTATTCTACTTTAGGCAGTATTTTAAAAATATTATCCCTATTGTACCTGATTTATTATCTTTTAGCTAGAATATTTTAATACTGTTTGATTGATAGTCTTACCAGTATGTTGTATTTCATGAGGTCAGCATCCTGGAAGTTATAGGTCTCTCCTTTGTGTGTCTGATCCCAAAGGGGATCTGATTTTCAGAGAATGAGTGTGCGAGCATTTTTCAAATGTAAATGGCTTTCCTCTAGTACTGCTTAACAGAGTCCTGTGACAGTAAAGGTAACTGGGATCCATCACCCTGGGGGATAGGGCTACATCATGCATTAAATTTTCACACATCTCTAGGAGACATTCCAGGTGCTAAAGCACGTGCCTGCTGCCAGTTTACATTCTGGAATATTGTCCATGCTTGCAAGCTGCAATGAGTGTCCCCTAGATCCCATGCTGTGTCTGAAATAAATTCCTCTGCAAATGCCTAAGCTACCTCAGGGTGTGTAAATGGCCTAAGTCACACAGGGAGCTCCCAAGCCCAGTGTCTATTTTTACTTAGGCAGTGCACCTAGGTGGAGGTTTGCCATGTACAGTTCTGAATATATGAAAATAAAATAACCACAGATCACATCGAGGAGACAGGACATGACTCCAAAGAGCTCTGCTGAAATATCCACATCTGGTCGGTTGCATGATACTTTATTTGTCCCAGAAGAATTAAGATGATAGATGATAGCAGGAGTTTGAACTTGTGCATCAGGAAGGCCACTTTGAATATAAAGGGGGCAGTATGTGTTTTGTGAACTACCGATGCAAAGAGGCTGTAGCAGAGGAATGGCTTTCAGTGTCACTGGAATTATGGCATTTCTGTGGAAACGAGACCATTGTTTATGTGTGCAGTTGGTGAAGCTGGTTAGGAAACGGGGTGTGGTGGGGTTGGAGCAGGGGAGGCAGAGGTCCCTGCTCTGCTGTGACCCCAGGACAGCCTGGAGCAGGAGCCAGAGGAGGTCACTACGCCTTCCTGGCGTGTGTGAGGCCGTGTGTGTGTCTGTGGAACGTGGGGAAGATCTTACCACCCGAGCAAGCCTTAACTGCTGAAGGAAAAAGAGGAATTTTGGCCGGTACTCACTGTAAATTGCTTTGTTTTGTTTCTGTAGGCAAACCAGAGAGGAGGAGTCTGAAGAGGTGACATTCTGTCCTGTGTGCTTTGAACGTGGTGACTGAAGAAAACAAAGTCCTTCAGGTGACACATCTTAAAAAGTTGGTGGGTTTTATTTTGATTTTTTTTGTTTGTTTGTTTGTTTTTGATTTATGGGGTCTTTGAAACCAGCAGACAGCTTTTGAAAATAAAGGGTTTAGCATTAGATTCTGGAAGCTGATCCTCTTTCGTTAAAGGCATTGATGAAAAAGATCTTCTCCAATACAGAAAGGAATCGCAGACCCTGTGATGGCATAATTATTCCTCTCCAGAATCCCTCGTATTTATTTATTAATTATGTATGTATAGTTTATTTATAGGTTATTTATTTATTTATTTATTTATTTATATGGTTCTCTCTGTCGGAGAGATGAGAAATACAGAAGAAAGTGCAGACCCTGTGATGGCATAATTATTCCTCTCCAGAATCCTTCTTGCTTATTTATTTATGTATTAATTTATTATTTATGTATAGTTTATTTATAGTCTGTTTATGCATTTATTCATTGTTTATGTATTTATAGTTTATTTATTTATTTATTTATTTATTTATTTATTTATTTATTTATTTATTTGGTTCTCTGTAGGAGAGATGGGAGCTGCGCTGTGTGTCTGGAAGGCCGTGTGATGCTGAGCAGCCGCTGGGAATTGCCCTTTTCCCGTCGCTGAGGTCGGGTTTGTGCTGAGTGCCCTCTGGAGGTCTTGGACACGCAGTGACCCGAGCGAGTCCCGGCTACGCCGCTGTGCCCGAGCTCTTCAGGATTCCTCGCTTCAAAGGTTCTCCCTCTTTTTTTTTTTTTCTTCCCCCCTCTCCTTTGGGAGAGATATTCTAGCCGACCTAAACGAGCAGAACACAGCTAAATCAGCTTTTAGTTTGAGTCAGAATTACAGCATATGAGTTACTCAGAAAAGGTAAAAAAATATTTTAAACTTCATCTGAATTGCCAGATAGCCAAACAAAATCTGTTTCATATTTAGGAGCTTTGATTAGCTTTATCAATGTATCGAAGTATGCTTCCAACTTATGTTTTTGTTTTCTCCCTAGTTCTTGTTGGGGCTAAAGGGAAACTGCTAAAATACCCTTTGAGCCTCTTCTTGCAAGATATGTCAGAGATCTCAGGGGAAGCATGTTATCCTTATTTTTCCAGCCAAGTTCTGTAGCCAGAGGAACTCTGGATAACTTCAGTAACTACAGTAACTTTTGGGTGCTCATCTGGTTTTCTTGTAATCTGTAAATTCTCCACTTTTGTCCACTTATTTCCCTAAGCGTATCAGTTAAAATAAATAGATGCAGTTGCCCTGACCAGCATGCTATCTTCATTCGAGATATGTATGAAAAAATCGGACTTGAAGAAGCAAAATTCAATATTGCATTATTATTAATAATATTTGGTTCTAACATGGAGTTTTGCCTCTGAAGAACATTTAGAAAAATTTTTTTTGGACTCTTGATACGCTTACTTTGCTGCTAGTGTAGCAGGTGTTTTTCTTAACCATTTTGAAGGATAAATCCTAAGTTTAGAGGAAATGAGCATTCAATTATTTAAATTTCCTGAGCTTAGAGGAAGAACACTTTGCCAAACAATGCCTCTTCACTTCAAAACCTCTCCCTATAAATTATGTTAGGGGATCTTATTAAAAGTCTTTAAAAATTTCCTATTAAAAATGGTTGATTGCAGTCCAGACCGTCACAGCTTTTGTGCTTTCAGTGAAATACCACAGCTGTCGCAAAGAAATATATTGTGAGACAAAAGGTTTTGTTTCCTTAGCCATAAATTATTTCTGTGATATCTGAAGTAAGATAAAACTTTCACTTATGTTTGAGTGAAGGAAGATTCCAGTGATAACTTGTTCAATATCTATAAAAAGAATATAAGAATGTAGATCTAGATAGCAAATTAGAATCAGACTTCCTTTTTGTTTGAGGAAAGCAATTACTTCTGAAGTCAGTGAAGATTATAACCAGGGATAATAGCATAACTTTGCAAAGCACTGTGCCTTTATCTCAGTAGAACCTGAAGTTTAGGCTTTCAAGTCTGACCTTTGAGAACTCTACGACAGAAACCTTTAGTGTTGGGCAGTTTTTAAACCAAAGTTAAACAATAGGAAGTAGTCTGTTTACTAATTGTACTATATTATATTATGCTATAACTATAATACATTACAGTAGATTACAATAAAACAAATAAACAGTCCTCTTTTTATACTTAAAGAAGCATCAAACAAATCGGGTTTGACCATATTTGTTTTTCTATTAGCAAATGATTTTTTTGCTGTGAGATTCTGCGGGAACCTACAGGGAACAGGCTGTGAAGTATTTGCTGTCTGGACTGAATTCTGTGTTCACCCAGTCGAGGAGTAGGAGCATATTCCAGGTATGATCTGTGAAGGTAATGAAAATATGAAATTACAGCATATATACTAAAAATTATTTGTCCAAATATTTTGCCAAGTAATTTTGAACAAAAAATATATTAGGACATTCACAATTTGCTCATCCATCATTGTTTTATGGATAAAGATCAAATTTCTCAGCCTCCTCCCCTGCTCGTTATAGAGATCACTGAATAAAGAAATACAGGACAGGTGCTAGAACTCAGAATTGGAGACATTTTAGGTTACATATGGGAAAAATCAATGTGCTTATTCTAATTATCAATAACAGTAACAACTAAATCAGTTCTCTTTACCCAGTGCCATCTCAAGAGTTTACTGGAATTTGTTTATTTGTGTATTTAAATCAGGAGTGTACAAAAGAAAAATGCAAGGTGGCCTTTTCTTCTGTTGTGCAAAGAGAAGCCTTGATCTTTCAGTAAGATTCATTACTGTGGCCCCCTACTTTTTTCCTTCTGAATGATTTTTCTTGTAAATCAAATTTCGTTTTCATAGTGCGTTTTTCATGGCAACATGTGCTATGCATTCTTTGGGTCAAACTTAGGCTGAAAGAATTATGAAGATAAATATAAATCAAAATAATCAGCACTTGGGAATTATTTCCCTTATGAGGATGAAGATATCTATTCCATATCCCATATACCTGGGGCAGGGACAAGGTGGGTCAGCTGTTTGTGGAATAAGGAGTTGATGCACACCAGTGTGGATGAAATGCCTGGAGCACACAATTCCATACTGCTTCAGCCGCTGCCAAAGGATGTGTGGGGCATGTGGGGGTCAGGAGGGAGCACCTAAAACCTCTGTACCCTTGTAGGGTCTAGCCCTGTGTTCTCACTCATGCTGAATGGCCTTTTACAAGTAATCCCTCTGATGTTAGAGAGACTTTTCTGTAATAAAATGCTGTCTGACAAGAATATGGATATCAGAATCTGGCCCTGCTTGTACTAATTCCATTTTAATGAATACTTAAATGGAATTGTTATTAAAAAAGTCTATTTCCTAATATTCAATAAATCAAAACTATAAAATCAGCTTGCCAGTTGTTGCCACGCTAGTCAAAGTCATTTTCTCTTGTATTGAAAATAGTAGTACATACTGTCTCCATTCAGGAGGGATTAATTGTAATACTTTTATCTGCTTCATAAGATTTATTTCTAATAATGAAGAGCAGAGGAGCTTTAAAGTTTTTAGGGAGCTTTAAAGTTTTATTGTTTTTATTAAAGAACCATATAGTCATGAGATGTTCCACAAACATGGAACTCACTTAACAGAAGCATGTTTCATGAATGAGCAACTTCAAACCAGAGTTTTAAAAAAGCTTTGTTCATTTCTCTGATCATATCCATTTAGTTCTATAAGCAGGAGCCTTGGGCACCATGTGATAATGCAGAGATACACATTAAAACCTGCTAAGATTTTGTAGGCTTGTCATCTGATGAAGATTATTGCAGCAGTGGTGCTGCTGGGGAAGTCACCTGAGATCAGTAGCAAAACAAAGTTGGGTCTCCATAGGGTAAATGTTTTGGCTTTGAGGTGGTTTCTCCCTACAGATGGAAGGGGACTGATCTGCTGAACTTCCATGGTGACATCCACACCGAGGAGTGGGAAGCATGCTTATGTTACTGTTTGACTTCATGCACATTAACCAAATAAAAACAAAAAGCAGTGAAAGGAGGGCAAAATAGAAACTGAATTCACTTAAATCAATGATAAACATGCTGTTGTATTAAAGCCTGGCAGAAAACTTGTAACAGAGTATTTCCTTGGAATTTGCTACCACTTTGATATCCAAATGCTTCACAAGGGTGGGGAGTATTCAGTTCCCTCAAGATGTTCTTCTAGACAACAGGCCAGTTTTCTGATTTTATCCTTTTCCACATGCCAGGTTTCCAGAGTGTCTAGCTTTGATGCAGTCCTGGTGACACCCTGATGTGGGGCTAAGAATGTCAACTCCTCCATCGCTCCGCAGCAGCCTACCAAGTTGTTTTTATAAATTATGCATTTTCTCTAACCATAAATATTGTTCCTAAAAGGGATACTGAAATGAAGATAATATGACTTTTCAGTAATAGCTCTTCTAATGTCAGCCATTCTGTTTAAACTGTTCAATTTTCAACAGAAAGATCTATGCAGTATATTCTACCTCCTGCAGACTGCAGTTGTTAAAAGAAAATAAATCACTTAAACAGGGTCATGAGCAACAAAGGCCAATGTGGGTTCAAAGTTTACAGGTCTCTGCATTTATCAGGTAGAAATATGCTACATTTCACTATTTCATAAAATATCCTTTTATGAAAAAGCCATCAATCTTTGCATGGCCTACTAAAACTGATTTCTCAAATGAAAGAAATGAATGATGACACCAAATCAAAAAATCGTTTATGAGTTTATATTTTTGCAAGACCACCATGACTTTCACATACGTTTTCAATTTTGGTAAGGATGTGATTATCATGTGGATATGTTTTACTCCCACCATTTGTACTAAGGGATCTGTCAGAACTGTGTACCCTTCCTTGAGCAGTTCAGGATTTGTTCAGATTTTTTCATTAATCTACAGTGGGTTTTATCCAGTGATTGTTATCATTTCTGTACATTATCCACAGGTTTATGGGTTATATATAGATATGTATAAAATCACATCTATCATGTGCAAGTTCACATTTAAACTAAGACTGCATTTAAATAACTTCGTTATTTCTCAGCGGTTTCTAACATTTCTGTGGAATGATTTTTGCATAATTCCTGTCACACACTCTACAAAACATCATCTTCATTACAGATCTTTAGTTATCCTTCTGGTCTTTCCTTATCTTTGCTATGCTTCCTCCAGGAGTCTCCGAGCTCTTTAACCAAAAGGACAATTATGATACTTGAAAACAGTACATTTATATTTCAGATATTGTAGTACAGCAGTGTGGTGGTTTGGGGCAGGAAGCATATAAGAAATTATTTCTTATCTGGTAATGACAATACAACAACCAACATGCTGCACTGGAATAAGGAAAATTGATTTCTGTTCTGGGTAAATGCTGTGGTCTCCCTTCGGGTATGCGCAAAGCAAATGAGCTTTGGCCTTTCGTGGTCTCCAGTGAAAACAAGCACAAACAAATGAATATGATTTATTAAGTATCAGTCTCATAAGAAGAAGAATGCATGGGGAAGTTAGTCCAAACTTTTGAGAAAGAACTTGATGCTTGGGTTTTTAAGGGGAGAATTTTTCTCCTTTTGCTATGGAGTTCATTTTGGAAAAAATGTCATCCTTGCACTGGTTTTTAGGCATTTCATTTTTTCCAGTTTATTTAGAAATTATCTTTTTTTAGCCATCTCTGATTCAGTTATAAAAATGCAAAGTTAAAAAATGTTCTGCACTTCCTTTGTAACTGAGAAATTACACTTTTGGTCAAATAGGACATGGTATCTAAACATGTATTTGCTCCTATCAACTTTCTCTAGTCCCTCCTATTGAAAAAAAAAACCCAAAATACTAACCCATGAAAAGAATGGAGTTTAGCTGTAATTCTTGGGAAAGCCTTTTTGCCAAGTCACATACAGAGTGTTTGCGTGGAGTTGCACTGTGGCTGGCATTGCTTTCCTGTAACCTGTGTTGTGATGAGTCCTTCAACAGCCTGATCCTGGGTGAGCAGGCTGTGAAACACAGCTGATGCCACCACCAAAGACTCCGGAAAACCTTACATACAGAGGAAACAGAAACATCTTTCAACAAGCACTTTGCATTACAAACCAAACATTGTCCCAAAACAAAATCTATCCTGTTTGATTAGACCAAAAGGTAAAAAAAACATTCTATTCATCTGGTGATGATCTTAGAGAAAATGTTGCTGTTAAAGCAGGCAAGACAGGAAGTTGTGGATTTTATATTTTTTAAATGAATTTCAGAAGAATGGTACTTACAAGAAATTTGAGGGCTTCTGTCAATGTGCTCCTCAAAGCATCCTGAAAAAAAATTCACAAAACTCTGTAACCGCTCCCTCAGGTGCCAGAATAATTCCCCCAAATCCACAAACTGGCTCAGGAGAGCTCAGTGTGCTTTGCCTTCACATCTTTGTACAGAACTCTGTGGTTCTTGCAGTCAAGGGCTCATGGCCGATTCATGAATTAAAAATGTTCCAAGTAGCTGGAAGAATCTGAGGCCATGTGCATAAAATGTAAAGAGCTCATAACTCTGCTTGAGAAGTTGTTCATCACTTAATGGATTCTCTACCTGAGGAAAAGCAGATCAAGAGCTCGGCAGCTTTAGGTGTCAAAAAGGCAGTTTCCATTCTAAGTGGAATGGAAGTGTTACCTTAAAAGTATCTTAGAAGCACTTTCCCTCCCTTTGACCCATATAAAATTTGTGGAAACCTTATTAAAAGTCCAAGATATAGCAATATTTTTTCAAATGGCTAGGATAGTCAAATTCCATTCTGGTGACCGTCTCCACTGTAAACACAGTGTGTAATCTTAAATTTGAAGAGGAAGTCTCCAAAGAAAACTTTATTAATGTGTTCTCTAAGTGCCTGCAGTTTTGCAAGTTCATTAGGATGGTCACACAGGAGTGTGTCATGATGTGTCATGTAGTTTGGTATGCTGCCTCTGATCCTGACTGTTGGGGGATCACTTGGAGGATGATGGATGGAGCTCCAAAACAGCCTGTCAGAACAACTTGTCCAGAGAAGGCAGAGGAAGAGGAGTGGAAAGGTTCTTCTTTGTCTCTTCTCGGCCACTGTTTGACATGCCATGAAATGTAAGCATAATATCCTTCTCTAATAGAACATTGAATGTTTTTATAATCTGTCATTGATTACCGAGGTGTAATCGTAAGAGGTCTGTAGCTGACCCATTGAATCACACTGTTTTTATAGTGTTTTCAATTACAATTTTATTAAAGAGTGAGAGATATTCTGTGAGGAGTATTGAGAGACATCCATTCCAAAATGAGTGAGAAGCTTGTCTTTGCAATGTTTTAAGTTCTACTTCCAGCCCTAGTAAAGCCAGGGATTGCAGCAGTTAATGATGTGCTGTTACAGTTCAGTTTCATTAGAAGTCAGGTATAACGCAGACTAAATATTGAGTGCCTGTTTTCTCTCTGTGCCTCTGCTGAATACCCCCTTGGTCAACAATGGTTCTCTTCATGCCTGTCTCTGCTCATGAAGAGATCTTTTCAGGCTTCCAGTCATTTCTCTGTGGCTCTGCCCCTCTGTGCTAAAGGCCCCAGAAGCTGTCTCAAAGCAAAGGTTTTGAAGGATATACCTCTCTCTAAGGTACCCCAAGAACAGTGTGCTACTATTAGTATTAGTATTAGTATTACTGTATGAAATGCTCACAAGAGAGCAGAGGGATCTCTGAACCTGAATCTGCTCTAAACCAGGGCAGCTTTCTGCTGCTGAAGAATCCACCTCTCACTAGGAGCTACACTACCATTGTTATTCTCCCTTGCTCTTTAATTCTAAAAGCACAGTGATACGTGATATGTATTTCTCCTGCTCTGTCCTTAAGGACATACTAATGTGTTGCTGGGTTGGAAATACTTTCTTTAAAAGTACTCAAATGCTGGAAAGCTATTTTTTCAGGATAGCTGCAACTTGAGAACGTCTTTTCTTAGGGAAAAGAACAGTTCAGAAAATTCTTAACCATTTAAATGCACTGTGAGGTTCATAATTAAACTTTAAGTTACAATAAATATATGACCCATGTATTTCAAATAAGCAATATATAATTATAGTTTTTATCTTTATTTTCTGAAGAGTCAATTTTTGTGATAAATCTCAGTTTTTTAATGAGCTGTGTCTTGCTTACATGGCTTGGAAATAGGCACTACTCTTCATATTCTTCTTTTTTTAAAGTTTACTGTATTCTGTTATCCTTGTCTGAGAAATATCTTTAGGAAACCATGAGGATCATGGAATCAGGCAATCACAAAATCATCTTCAAGGAAACTTTGCTTACTTGTTGCCGCTGCTGAACTTGATATTGTTCATAGCATGGCTAGATGTTAAGGAGTGCTACTGGACAATTTCGGTTTAGTTCCAATTGACATTTTCCTTTCAAATGTTGTATTCCTGATATAAACTTGGCATTTTGAAAAGTGAGCATTTTTCTGAATAGCCATGGTCAGGGGTAATTTGCACTGATGAGTAACTTTGAATGTAAATAACACAGAGAGGGATGTTCTTACAAACTCAGAACTCTGCACTCAAAGAGAGCTTTAATAGAAACAGCTTTTTAAACAAAAATTTCCTCCTGTTAGCATTTGGCTGGATTTTCTGTCAGTTGCCTGGTGTATTGGTGGAGTTCTATGTTTGGTCTCCCACTTTCCAAATCATCAAGAAAACTCTCTGCTTAAAGAGCAATTATGGGGCTGTGCATGTTCAGTCACCCGGTGAGTTTGAACGAGAGTCATCAGTTATGCCGCAGCGTGTGTTAGTTTTGTAAGTGTCGTGTGAAGGCTGACAGAGATCACATTTCTGTGTTTTGCTGCTCGGTCCAGCCCATAACCTCCAGAGGTAATGGATCTCTGCAGAACCTCTCTGGAGCAGGTCACCAAACAGTGCAGGATTTCAAGAGCTGATGCACTTTTATTGCTACAATATCCTTGTCATGGAGGTGATGGGGTTTGGGCTGTGGTTTCGGGTGTCAGTGTGGTTTTACATCTAAGGCTGAGCCCTTTTGGTAAGCTGGATACATTTTTTTTTTTTTTTAAGAGCTTTTTCTTTTGTTCTTAGAGATGAATTGCT